GGCTACAGCTCTGGGTGGGAGGGCTACAGCTCTGGGTGGGAGGGCTACAGCTCTGAGTGGGCTACAGCTCTGGGTGGGAGGGCTACAGATCTGGGTGGGAGGGCTACAGCTCTGGGTGGGAGGGCTACAGCTCTGGGTATGTAAACTACAGCTCTGGGTGGGAGGGCTACAGCTCTGGGTGGGAGGGCTACAGCTCTGGGTGGGAGGGCTACAGCTCTAGGTGGGCTACAGCTCTGGGTGGGAGGGCTACAGCTCTGGGTGGGAGGGCTACAGCTCTGGGTGGGAGGGCTACAGCTCTAGGTGGGCTACAGCTCTGGGTGGGTGGGCTACAGCTCTGGGTGGGAGGGCTACAGCTCTAGGTGGGCTACAGCTCTGGGTGGGAGGGCTACAGCTCTGGGTGGGAGGGCTACAGCTCTGGGTGGGAGGGCTACAGCTCTGGGTGGGAGGGCTACAGCTCTGGGTGGGAGGGCTACAGTCTGGGTGGGTGGGCTACAGCTCTGGGTGGGTGGGCTACAGCTCTGGGTGGGAGGGCTACAGCTCTAGGTGGGCTACAGCTCTGGGTGGGAGGGCTACAGCTCTAGGTGGGAGGGCTACAGCTCTTGGGTGGGAGGGCTACAGCTCTGGGTGGGAGGGCTACAGCTCTGGGTGGGAGGACTACAGCTCTGGGTGGGAGGGCTACAGCTCTGGGTGGGAGGGCTACAGCTCTGGGTGGGAGGACTACAGCTCTGGGTGGGAGGGCTACAGCTCTGGGTGGGAGGGCTACAGCTCTAGGTGGGAGGACTACAGCTCTGGGTGGGAGGGCTACAGCTCTGGGTGGGAGGGCTACAGCTCTGGGTGGGAGGGCTACAGCTCTGGGTATGTAAACTACAGCTCTGGGTGGGAGGGCTACAGCTCTGGGAGGACTACAGCTCTGGGTGGGAGGGCTACAGCTCTGGGTATGTAAACTACAGCTCTGGGTGGGAGGGCTACAGCTCTGGGTATGTAAACTACAGCTCTGGGTGGGAGGGCTACAGCTCTGGGTGGGAGGGCTACAGCTCTGGGTGGGAGGGCTACAGCTCTGGGTGGGAGGGCTACAGCTCTGGGTGGGAGGGCTACAGCTCTGGGTGGGAGGGCTACAGCTCTAGGTGGGAGGACTACAGCTCTGGGTGGGAGGGCTACAGCTCTGGGTGGGAGGGCTACAGCTTTGGGTGGGAGGGCTACAGATCTGGGTGGGAGGGCTACAGCTCTGGGTGGGAGGGCTACAGCTCTGGGTGGGAGGGCTACAGCACTGGGTGGGAGGGCTACAGCTCTGAGTGGGCTACAGCTCTGGGTGGGAGGGCTACAGATCTGGGTGGGAGGGCTACAGCTCTGGGTGGGAGGGCTACAGCTCTGGGTATGTAAACTACAGCTCTGGGTGGGAGGGCTACATCTCTAGATATGTAAACTACTGCTTTGGGTGGGTGGACTGCTAACTACTTTTAACAGGCCTGTAGATCACAAGTACTAAAGTTATTTTATGCCAACTATGCAACTTACACTACGTTGGGTTTGAACATAGCAATTCTAATTTCGGAACAAATCCGCTGATCAGCGTTAAGTGGAAAAAAAAACATCAGAGCAAATTGGTTTTTCCCCAGACATATAATCCATTCCTACTCAACATTAACACGTGTATCAGTGTCCGTGTTTCCTAAATCCTCAGCGGCACAGATTAAGTTGGAATTTAAATTTAAGCCATTCCAATTTGGATACATCTGGAGAGTGATGAAACAAACTTTGATTTGACTTTCAAACTTTTGATTTTGTTTTACTCTCTCAGCACTATGATATAAAAAAAAATAGAATTTACAAAAAATGCCTCTCAAAATATCAAATTTCGTGCCAGCACGATTCACAAGCAGATTTAAACATTTTGTTATTTATAATATGCAATCGAAAAGAAATCTGATTTACGTAGAAGGATTAACTGTTTTATTCTTGCCATAAGAAAAAGTTGTATTGTGATATGAAAAAAAATTTCAGATTAAGGCGAATGACTTTTTGCAATTTGATGTGCATTCTTGTATGTTGACAAAACTCTAAAACAGATGTTCTATCGTAAAGTAAAATATAGTTTTCTGTAATACCTCAAGGCTACTTGTAAACTATATTTTCAAACAATATTTCCTAAACTACTTAAAGTGTAAACTTGAGGTAAAAAAAAAAAGGTGTCTAAAACAAAAAGTCCTAACAATTGGTCTAATGAAATAGATCTAAACTAAAAGGTTCTAACAGTTTGTCTAATAAAATAATCAAAATTTTCTTGTAAATTGTTATAAAAACCTATTGCATTTTAAATCATTTTTCAACAAATACACGATAAATATCATGGCTGAACCCACACACATATAGGCCAAAAGTAAGATGTTTCTACTATGTCTAGACCCACACACATACACGCCAAAAAATAAACAGATGTTTCACTATGTCTACACCCATACACATACTCGTCAAAAGTAACCAGATGTTTTCACTATGTCTAGACCCACACACATATAAGTCAAAAGTAAGATATTTCCACTATGTCTACACCCACATACATATTGGCCAAAAGTAAACAGATGTTTCCACTACAGCTACACGAAGTCATTATGTTATTAATACCATGTGAGACTTGGAGACAGAGACTTCTTAAAGAACTTTCGACCGAAAGGGTGGCATTGGAGACAATAAAACACACACTCAACACAGTCGGGAAGATAATTGCTGAAACCCCAAGCTTCTCGTGGAGTTAAGAGGACTAAGTCAAGTCACATACTATTAACGCCAGAAAAGGTAAAGAAATAGTATGTCGCATACTTGAAAGTTTAAATAAATTGTTTGCGTGAAAGTAGGTTAAATTTGAATAAATCAGTTTTAGCGTGTAGGGGTGATGCTAACACGGCAACACTTGGCGCAGTGGCGTAGCGAGGTTGGGTGTCACCCGGTGCGGCACTTAATGGTGTCCCCCCCCCCCCCCCCAGAGGCGTAGCGACCCTTCCCGGGGACAAACTTTCAAATTTTCGATTTGCACCCCCCCCCCCCTCAAACATTTGATTTGCACCCCCCTCAAACATTCGATTTTCACCCCCCTCAAGTTTTTCTCTATATTTTGCTATTTTTTGCTACGCCTCTGACTTGTCGTAAGGCCTGCCAGTAAAGGTCACCGGCCAGGGCGAAAGAGTTCTGAGATGAACTTCAAGGGCCAGCTAGATGGAGGTATTCAGCTGTTGTCAGGCATGGAAAAGGATGAGCACTGCCGTGTGACACTTAGTCCAAGCCACACCACATAAAATTACTATCAAAGTAAGGAGTCCAGGCCCTTGAAATTAGATGCTTACGCAGACACATGCAGATTTCACATGACCAATGGAGAGGTCCGGGAAAGGGCCACTAAAGCGAGTGGTCCCTTTGCTAGTCTACTAAGCATAGTTAAAACAAGGAAACTGAGATGGTGTGAGCATGTCACACTAGCCAACCGCTTATCCAAAACAATAATACAGGGCCCGGCGCCAGGTGGGAGAAGGTTGGAAAAGGTTTGTGAACTGAGGATTATATCAGGGTTTAGATTGCGAACTGTTTGTTATATGATATACATTCGGATTTCTACTTTGGACTTTACCAAACCTATCAATACATTATATACAAAATGTATAGCCTACGATACGTAATCAATTTGTTGTTTTAGTTTTCGGTCATGCAGTAGAAGAGAACTGCTTGAAATAGTGTGAACCCTGTGATAATTTGTTTCAATCTTGACTGGTGTTTATGCCCGGGGAGATGCTATAGAATATCAACGTAGAACAAACAACACATGTTGCTTAGACGGAAAGCGAGTTTTACCTATACTATATTAATACTATATACTATCTATCTATATATATAATTCTCTTCTGGGAGCCGTTAGAAAACAAGCTGCAAGCGCCTCCTTGCAGTCCCCTCTCTTTCTCTCTATCACTATCACTACCACCCCCACCACACCCCCACATTGTCTGGTGAGCTGTGGTCACGCTCAATATTTACATTTTACAATCATAGAGACGGGTTTGGTGACGGCTATTAGGGGCAGATAATTTAGTTTGAAACGATTTTAAACTTAGAGGAGGTAACTAAGAGGAGGCTGCTTTCACATGGGGGGGGGAGGGGGGTTTAGTGTTTTTAAGCAAATATTTTCAGTGGCAGCATTGGTACTGTCGAATTCACAAATTATAAATTACTGAAAAGTAGAAAAAAAAAACTACTAAATAGCGGCGTATGATACGCAGCGGGTCGGCTCGTAATAATATATTAATCAAAATTCAAGTTTTCTATCGACTTTCCATCCAAACCTATGCCATCCTCACTCCTTCTCATTTATTCAGAGAGATCCCTTATGTACTTGAAATATTCAATACAGTAATAGTGAAATATTAAATACTGTAATACTGACTTCAAAACTGTAATTCTTAACTGTTAATTACTGTAAACGTCATTATGTTTTTATTCTTGTTTTTTAAATTGTCGATAAGAACATAACTATATTAGTTAAATTTACTAACACACGTAACACCCAGTAATACCTCAGTATTTTGCTAAGTGGTGCATTGCAGTTTTTAAAAACCTATCCCATCACTGGCGAACAGCCGATTAAATCTACCTACAGTACTACACTTGAGGCGCCAATAAATTTATACAAATCGTCATTGAAAAGCTTAATTGTAGATAAATTGCTTGGTGGTTGTTTTTTTTTCGGTTGTCTTAATTTTTATCAAGAGCTGTTGAAAACATTCAAACACTTCAAATGAATTAGGACGCGAAAAAAGGGTTAAAATTGTCCACAGCTTGATGATTAGAGATTAAGCCGGTAGAGTTTCGGCTTAGAAAAGAAACAGATTGCTGGAAAACAAAAAAACAAATCAATCAATATTTTAGTCCGTTTAAGCATACTCAAATTACACGAGGTGTTTTTAAAAAGGGTATTTAAGCTCTATAATAAAACTCAGTAAGTCACAGATACGCTTTTCTTAATCAAAGAAAAGCAAAGGCCCAGAATTTCTAATATCTGTGGTGTTGAAATTCAATTGTTAACATTTCTGGCGTCGTTTGCGAGACTTTGTTTTCTAGAATCCACTAGTCCAGTTTTGACCTTGACCACACGATGTTCCTGCTTACCTGGTTGCCTATTCAGGCATTAATTTTTCAGACGGTCTGCGGTCTCAGTTTAAACCTAGGTAAGACATAATTAATCATACATGTAACATCTTAATAGATTCTTACATGTTATCTATCTATATATATAATTCTCTTCTGGGATCAGTTAGAAAACAAGCTGCAAGCGCCTCCTTGCAGTCCCCTCTCTTTCTCTCTATCACTATCACTACCGCCCCTACCCCACCCCCACATTGTCTGGTTAGCGGTGTTCACTCTAAATTTTTACAAAGCTAAATGTTTACACATCGAAGAGCCGTACAGCCGGGTTTCTATTAGGGGCAGATAATTTAGTTCGATTTTAAACTTACAGGAGGTAACTAAGAAATAACTAAGAGGAGGCTGCTTTCACGGGGGGGGGGGGGGGGGGGTGTAGGGTCGGGGTTAGGGGAAAGTGGGGGGGGGGTTAGTGTTTTAAAGCAAATATTTTCAGTGGCAGTATTGGTACTGTCGAATTTACAAATTATGAATTACTGAAAAGTAGAAAATAAAACAACTAAATAGCGGCGTATGATACGCTGCGGGTCGGCTCGTATTTAATAACCAGTCAGGGCAAATCATAGCGTGAAGAGGTTTATAGAAAGTTTTATTGATGGTAGTTTTCAATACGTTATCCAGATGGTTAATAAAAAACTTGATGGCTTGTAACTTCCAACACGTTTGCGATAGCATTTGCTTTTGTGTTTGCGTTTTCATTTATCTTATTTGTGTTTGCGTTTGCCATATCATTTGTATTTTTCTGTGTTTGAGTTTGTGTTGCGTTTTGCTTCTGTTTGCGTTTGTGTTTGTGTTGCGTTTAAGTTTGTGTTTGCGTTTGAGATTGTTTTGCGTTGTGTTTTTGTTTTTTTTTCTTTTGAGTTTGCGTATTTTGTTTACGTGTGTGTTTTCGTTTGGGTTTGTTCTTGTGTTTGTGTTTCGTTTTTTATTTCGTTTTTTTTTTGTTTGCGTTAGTTCCGACAGTCATTCCTTCATCACTTTAAAAATTTTTTTTTTTTTTTTTTAGAAAGAATCAAGTTTATTTCGTAGTTAATATTGTCCAATTTATTCAGCAGCTTCTGCTGTCAATGTCTTTATGAAAGCTTCTTTCTTTTATGCAACACGTGTCTTGCGCTGGGCATTGGATAACTTCACACGGTTCCACCTCTTCTTCTGAACTTCCTTTTTAGCAGCTGACTTAGATTCAGGGTCAGCTCTAATGGCTGCATGTGCTTTCTTGTACATTTCCTCAACCTTAGTTCCTGTAATTCCATTCTTGATGAACTAAGAGAACTGTCTCTTCTAATCTTCCTCATCATTTTCCTGAAGCTATTCCATGTAGTTGGACACAGTCATGCTTTCCAAAAATATGATCACGGTGGGGCTGAGCATTTTAAGCTTTGGATTTTTGTCATACCCAGTTAAACGGCGTGTGCTGTGCGGGATATCAATTCCACAATCAGCAGCCCCCTTCAAAGCTCCAAAAACTCTAGCACCAGTTGTTGTGCGCACCAATCCAACATCTAGATAAGCACGGAATGCACATGGAGCCCCATTAACATCCTCGGCATTGAATTTTCTCCATTTGCTTCCACTTGTCCCTCATAAGTTTGGTCCAAGTTAAGCTTCTTCAACAATATCCTGGCTAGTAGAAGACATGTGCAATAAGCAACGGCATAGTTGGTTCACACCGTATCAAGGTAATTCGTGAGAATATGCAGCACATACAATCAAATCACCTTCGATATGAGCATAGACTATATGGCATATGATATCTTTGTTGGTAAAAGAGACAATCATACGATACTTTGGAGTGTTGTATTTGTTCTAATCTTTGAAAATAAGGCGTTTTCTGGCATAGTAGTCAGTAACTCCTTCTCCTCATTTTGAAATTGACCTGGAACCTTTTAAAGTAGGCCTTGTTCTGAATCACCTTGACAACCCCAGTTGAGCAACTCTACCATCTCTGTAGGTTACTGTGATATTTGCCATCTGACAGTTCATGTTATCTTCTGCTTCAGTTTTCCTCTATACACTTCACCGGTTGAAGTTTCACAAGTAACTATGTGTCCTTCTGCCTCATGTAGCACTTTAATAGGTACTCCAATCGACATCTTAATTTATTTAACTCAATGATGTATATTGAGAATTATTTTTAAATGCACATTACGTTGTGATTACATGGATCTGTTAACTGCCTTTTTGCCGGTTTCAAACAAAAACAAATAATGGCGAAAAACAGGAAACATTATCCTTCATCACATGCCGTGATTTTTCTTGCATCGCATTGTCTTATCACAGTTAATAGGGTAGGGTCTATTTAATTAAGTATAGACTTGAATTTTTTTATAGTCGGCAAAGTTTTTACTCTTTTGCATACGTCAACAAAAGAACGTGAAGAAAATATTAAAGACACGCTCATTCCTAAAACATTAAGCGGATCATTATTAAATAGTACTTTTGCTGAGATTCCTAAAAAACTGGATTCATTTTAATAACAATAGTGTCGAATAAAACTAATCAATTGAAATATTTAGTAATTATAACATGGGAGGTAATTTAAAAAGATATGCAATTTAAATAATTTTTTTATTCCTACCGCATCGATTATTATGTTACGGTTAATAATTATAATTGATTAATGTTACGATTATTTATATTATTTTCTAATTAGTCGGTACAGAGTTTTTTTTAGTTTTTATTTTATTTCTATGATCACTATTTGTTTTAATTTTTATTTAAACGGATGTGGGAAAGGTCTTTCTGGACACGGACGGGCAGGAAAGCGTAATTCAATAAAGTGTTTGAGTTTGCATTTTGTCTGCGTTTTTGTTTTCTTATGTGTTTGTATTTGTGTTTTCGTTTGCTTGTTACGTTTGGGTTTGCGTTTGCATTTGTCTGCGTTTTGTTTGGTTTTGTGTTTGTATTCATGTTTGCTTTTTCGTGTATCATTTGTGTTTGGGCTTGTGTTTGTGTTTTTGTTTTTGTTTGATTTTGCATTTGAGTTTGTTTGCGTTTTTCTTTTGCATTTGTGTTTGTGTTTGCGTTTGTCTTTGCATTTTCGTTTGCATTTTAGTTTAGCTTGTGTTTACGTTTGTGTTTGCGTTTTAGTTGAGTTTGCGTCAGAGTTTGCGTTTGCGTTTGTTTGCCTTTGTGGTTTTTTTTTGCTTTTGCAATGGTGTTTGGGTTTGTGTTTGAGTTTATGTTTATGTTTGCGTTTTTTTTTTCTTTTGCGTTTCCGTTTGTGTTTGTGTTTTCTTTTGTGTTTCCGTTTGTGTTTTTTTTTCAGTTCTCAATTTGGTACATTAAATTTTTTTTACCGTGGCGAAGCACGGGTATATATATATATATATATATATATATATATATATATATATATATATATATATATATATATATACATATATATATATATACATATATATATATATATATATATATATATATATATATATATATATATATATATATATATATAAAATCATGACCTGTCACACAAAAATTCATCAACATAAAACAACCGTAGATAAGAACATTATATTTTTTACCTGTATCTTTGAGTTGTGTAATTCTATTTAAAACATTACCTTTAATTTTAGCACCAGGTCCAAAGTTCAGTTCATTGAATATTCCTACCAACAAGGTGCAATCTTTAAACACCAAAAATGGTGAGTAGCGATTGGAATAGAGATTTAGTTCCTTTTAAGACAAGACTGTTGCAGCATCTTCAAATTGAAAGAATAAAATGCTAACGACTAGTTATTTCAAGTTATAAATAATTATGAAATTTCATAAAGTAAATAAAATTATTTTTAAAATGTAATTACAAATTTGAAAATAAATTGTGTTCTTATTAGATTTGACCAACTTAATAACATCCTTAAATCAGGCGGAATTAAAAAAGGGTAAGTAGTATTTCATTTAGCCTACCATTTGCGAAGCAGGAGGTGGGGGGTTAAAACCCCTTCCCCCCATTGGACCACTCTGTAAATCAAAATTACTATCATAATACCACTGTTACTTATTATAATCTATTTCTGAATCATCATATATGTATTGTTGTATATGTATGTTTAGAACAGTCATCTACAACTGTCGCTATGTACACTCTTAGTTGGTTATCCCCTCCTCCTCCACCTCACCATCTAAAACGGGACAGGCCGAAATGGTGTAGAGCGACATTAATGTCACATGTAGGTATCCGCTGGGTAGGATAATTGATCTAAAGTGACCGGACAGTGGTGAATAAATACCCCCCCCCCCTCAACACCCCCTACCCCAACCCCCCGAACTGATCTGTTAAGTACATTTTGGAATACACACAATGAGGTACCAAAGTACCATGCCGTCAGAATCCTAGCTTTTGAAACATGTAAAACTCTGTATATTGTTTTTGCAATTACAAGTAAAAACGTAGGCGATCAATACATTTCATTATGTTAAAAAATGATCTTTAAAGAACACAATAAACAGTAGCTAATTACAAAAGAGAATCATTGGAAATGCAAGACCAAAAATTTAGATATATGCATGCTATTATTCAGAATGGTCTAACTATTAGACTTTGTTTTATTATTAGATAGAAAAGTATGATTTTATTTCAAAAACTTTCATTATGTTGTAATATTGTAGCATTTATGATGACAATATATTTAATTCTGATTGTAGACAACATATTTTTGTAAAACCAAATATTGTTAAGATACTTTATTACATACTAAAATAATTATTGAATTTCTTTACATTTACAATTAAATTTGTTGAAATATACATATATTAAGAGAGTGATGATTTCCCATAGTAAGCTTGTCTTAATTAATATATCATTATGTCCAATAGCTTTTTACATGGATTACATGAGAGATTGTGTTGTGTTCATTGTTTTTGATTGTATTGTGTGTATATTGTGTTTAGTTTTTTGTTTAGTGATAAATTGTTTTGTTTTGTCGGCCTACATTGTGTGTTTTTTTCTTATTTGTTCAGAGTACTACTTTCAGTTTATTTTACATCATTGCGAAGCAATGACATACAGCTAGTAGGCCTATACAAATATATATATATATATATATATATATATATATATATATATATATATATATATATATATATATATATGTGTGTGTGTGTGTGTGTGTGTTTGTGTGTGTGTATAATGATGGAAAAAATTGAACCTCCTCCCCCCCAAGAGACAATCCTAGCTACGCCACTGCATCCTACATTAGATTCTAAACGTATACCATGTTTAGGAGTATGTAATTCATATCTATTGAGTAATTGCTAAATCCAAATAGATTTATATTTATACTCATAAACCATTAAACAGATTTAGAATGATTTACTGTCAGATTTGAACTGGATTATCTGTTTGCATAAATTTAAATATGTAAGCCAGATTTAGAAATCATAGCTTGTCCGATTTGCACTTTTTGTGAGATTGACATTTGCATATCAGATTCCACTGTCGTGTTTATGATACTATGGCATGTTTATTTGTAATACGAGGCCGACACCAGCACGAAGACTTGCTAATTCAACTTAGCAGAACAGTATTTTTGTGGGGTTGAATTTTCTTTAGCTGAATGTTATTAAGACCCCCACCTTAATCGGACGCCGTGGACTAGTGTAGTAGAGCGCTAGACTGCTAACCCGAAAGTCTCGAGTTTTAATCCGGGTCCAAGTCAGTAGATCGTCCCTATGTTCACCCAGCTCTGATAGGTACCTAAGTAAAGGCGGTTGGGCAAAGTGCTGGAAACACCTTCCCCTAATATACCAAGATCAAGAAACATGTGAACTCTACTTCATCTGCCCAATGGATTGCTAGGTCAAAAGAGGATTCTTTACTATATTTTACGGGTGAAGGGAAGGGGGGGGAGACTTGAGTTTCCGTAACGAGTAACACCCGACCTAATTTACGCCATTGTGGTAGGTCAAGTTGTTCTTTCAGGCATCTTTTCGGAGATGAAATAAAATTTATAAAGGAAATATAAAAAATGTAACCCCCCCCCTTGAAACTTCACTCCAAGAGAAAAAAAGTAGGAAAGTAACACTCCTTTCAGGGTTTCTTCCAGACTTTTTCTCCGGGAGAGGTCTCGATATTTGGGGGAAGGGGGGGGGGAGCGGACAACATTTTCCGGTGGGGGGAGGGGCGGACACTGGTAAAAGTATGTTTTCTATACAAATTCTATTTCGTTCAAGGGAAGGGGGGCCGTAGACTTTCGTCGGGGGTGCGGAGACCCCCCCCCCCCCCATTCCGCGAAGAGATGCCTGGAACTCCTGCACTGACTCCTATACACACAGACGTTTTAAAAGTTCTTTTTTATTGGGGTATTTTTTCTTACTTAGTTTCACAAAATATTACATCATTTTTCTGTTTTCTACACGCAATCAACATGCCCGTATCACTTTGAATGTAAACAGAGAATTCGCTGTCAAAGGATTTTGTTAATGGCGCCCGGACTGCATCACCCGACACAAGTAAGTTTTGATGACAAAAACCTCTAAGGGGTCATCCATAAATGACGTCACGCTTTTTTACGATTTTTACCTCCCCCTCCCCTCCGTCACACGTCGTCACAAAAAGCCAGACCCCCCCCCCCTAAAATGATGTGACACCTCAGCCTACAACCACACCCACCCCTCAAAATTGCTGTTGAATTTTTTTTAAACAGCTATTTTTTTTTCCAAAATCTTGTCTGAACTCTGTCAAAATAGAGTATTTTAGTCAATTGCTATTACAATTTATTAAAACAGTTTTCCAAAACGCAAAATAACGTCTAAAATTCGTTTTCTAACATTGCTTTTTTATAATGCAAAAGTGTGACGTCGCACCATCTGAACCCCCCACCCTCCCCCTCATCACACACCGTCACAAAATTACGGACCCCCCCCCCTCCCCCCTACGAGTGTGACGTCATTTATGGACGACCCCCACACAGCGTATAATCAAAACCTGATTAAATCAACTATTGATTGATAACATGACTCGGTTTTAATCAAATAAATACAATATACAAAGCCTTGAAATGTCTGCTATTATGACTTTACGTTTAGTAGTGTTTATTTTTAGAACCATAAGCTTTGAAATATCTACTTTTTACATAAAGAGCTTTGACGTTTCTGCTGTTATTGGTATTGATATTTTAAATTGTAAACTTGGAAAAACCATCAGTAAAAGCGAATCAATATCTTTGAAGTGCGTATTGTTCAGTTTGAAATCTCATATTTTTTTCTTGTTTCAGACCTGGCCAGTCTACTGAACTCGCTAGGTAACAAGTCACAAGTCGGTTCACAAACAGGTACAAACATCCAAGTTTGTTTTTACAACTATTACTATTAACTAGTTATAACTTACACGGCCTACATGAACCAGTTTTCATAAATTTTCCTCGCGGGCAAGGTAAAAAAAAATCGTCACGAACAAGTGCTTTCTGTTATCCAATAGCATTGATTTTAAAAATAACTTTAAAACCAATTCATTCAAACCTCACATTACAAATTGACGAGGTTAACTTGCTTGATTAAATTCGCGGTCGCATACAGAGCACCACCCACTGTTCTAAAAACTAAAACCATTAGCAAAGTACACGACGAAACAAACATCAATACCTGCCAATTTTTGTTCAACAAAAACGAACAGAAACCCTCAAGGTCTAATTTCTATGAATCAGCTGCTGAATGGATTAACGGGTACGTGGCTGACTTAGTTATTTTTACGCTCTTCTCTTCTTAATCCCGTTGGTGTCCAAGACACATAGCGGCAGATGACGTAGAGTTCATATGATTCCTTGGCATGGGCTTATGAAGGGATAGTGTGGTCAGCACTATGCCCAGCCGCCTTTGTATTCCCTACTGTAAGTTAGGTACATATCAGAACTGGGTGGACTCAGGGGCGTTCCACTGATTTGAACCCATATTCAAACTCGAGAATTTACCACTAGCTATCTACCTCTAGGCCACGCCGTCCCCTATTTTTTACATTAGGTCTCACTTTAACATTTAAGTATGAAACTGACAGATCCTGAGGCGTAGCGACCCATTCCGGCTCCCGGGACGAACACACGTATGTGCGCCCCCCCCCCTCCGCCATTTATATAAATAATTATTCATGTTACTGAAAAAGCGCCCCCCACCTCAGTTGGAAAAGTTAGTGTTACTGTTTACCAGTCACTATCCCGTAAAGGTTTTAATTGTGGTGCCACCCAATTGATGAAGAAAACAGTTACATCCAGTTACAGTTAAAGCGCCTTGTAATCTAGACGTTTACATTCGAAAATTTGACTGTGATATTTCAATACCCCAGCACTTTTGGCACCCCTTAAGGGCGGCCGCCTCACCCGCCCTTTCCTAGCTACGCCACAGGACAGATCAAACTATTTTTCTGGCTCACAGACTGACAACACTAAGGCCAAACTAAATACCAACAATTTGCACGAATTGTTAAAAGCCAATAAGTTCAGTGGTTACATTTTTTTTTTAAATCCGTGTATAATTTTTAGAAAAACAAATAAATTGAAATCACTGTAAAAAATTAACCACAATCAACTACAAGTAACTAAAATACACATCAAGAGTAATACACTACTTTGTATATGATTAGCCAGTTTGTTTTGCGGGTTAGGGCAAAGATTAAAATAATAAATAAGGTCATAGTGGGGATTAGGGTAGGGGTTAATACTACGCCCAGTGCAAAAGATCAACGACACGTGCAAGAATATTTCAACGACGCGGTCTATGGAGCTGTTCACATGTACGTAATATTTAGCGCTCCTGTCCTGAATTCCAACCAATATTCGGCGATAAGTTACAGAGAAAATTTCACGCTAAATCTACCTCCGATCCTTACCAAGCTAAAATCAAAACAATTTTCTTTCAAATTTCCGTTCAGTAATGTTGGCTACCAGCTGGGGTCAACATCAAACGGATTGACAGGTCGGTGAATAGATTGCAGACGGCATTTTCCTATACGCTCGACTTACAAACTGTACATTGAAGGTCCCTACATTACTAACAGGGTAGTTTAAATTGCAAATAAATGACAGCCATTTACGTTAAGCTTACACACATAAAAGTTAGGTTTTTCGTTTTTACACAAGTTTTTAAGCGTTTTATTTTTACACTACTTTTTATTTTATTTTAAAAATGGTTGCACTTCGCGCATACACGTGTAGATACATTTATTTCCGGTTAAATGGCATCACTAATCAGTAATAGGAGAGCTTTTATCAACTTTAAAATGCAAAATATACTGGCTTCATATACGAAGAATATATTCCAGAATGAACAGTCAAGTTTTAACACATATTCGCCTTTGCTTTACTCGTATTCGACCACACCGTCCCATTTTAAGACCTAAGTTGCACTCTAAATGTAAAGAAATATATGTTTCATACTGACAGGAAATTCTCAGCGTAAATAGCCCACAAGCAACACCAGTAAATTGTCAGTTTTATGACTTAGAAAATCTTTATTTTTGCTTACCGTTCAAAGTTTGTCTTTCTGAAATATCTTAGTGATCAAAAAGTCATTTGTGTTTGCCCTATTTCGTCTATTTTACATGACTGTAAAATCTAGTGTTTTTTCTAGGTTTGTTGAAATTAAATTAATAACACTACTAAAAACATTTGGTATTATTAATCATCGTGGTTGATTATACAGTCATTATTTCAAATCAGTATAGCAATTAATCGAAAATATTATTTTGGATTCTGTCTTATCAAGACTTGGTCAGCTTACTGGACGGTGTGAGAGAAAAAAAAACAGTTGATTCAAAAACAGGTTGGAAAATTCCCTTATAAATGAATGCAAATTCATGGTGTATTATTAACTTAAAGGAACAAAAAAAAAATGAATTAGTAGCCTATTTATAAAGTACAGTTGGACATAGTAAGGGAATCAGCGAAACTCGTATGGATATCCGAGCTGCTAACTATTGAAAAACTTGTTTTTGTTTGTCAGATTTGATGCAGTTAATAAACTCAATAGAGGATAAACATAAAAGCGACTCTAATACAGGTAAGTATTTATTCCTTTGTTTTTCTTTTTCTTTAATGTAGTGAGATCAATACCTGATCAAACAACGAGAATTTAATTTTTGGCTTAGTTCAGCAAAGAGATTAAAGTAATAACGAAGCTCACGGTATTTTTTGCTTCCATTTTATGTGTTTTTTATTCTTCTCTACCGCATTAAGATCTGAGTGAGGTAATCAAGAGCTTGAACAGCCGCGTTGATGCTTTGAATCAGGGACTCGATAAAACAGACTCGCCAACAGGTACCAGCTTTGTAGCCTCGGGCTGGCTGTAGATCTTGACTTTTGCCTCAGGGACATTCGTCCAAAAATTAAAATCTGCCTGAAGTTATTTCTAAAAACGACACTTTCACAAAGCACATTATCTATATGTAATGTTCCCTAAACACATTATTCATAAGTAATGTTTTCTAAACAAATTCATCCGTAAGTAACTGCCCAAAAACTTAGCAAAAAGCATGCTTCACGAGAACTGTAAAAGACTAATTAATTAACCAACTTACTATTTAAATTTTACAAAATGAAGACTTTTGAAAATTACGTACTAACTTCTTTTTTTAAAAGCCTATTAAACATGATTATTCTTTTTTCTTTGATCTTTTCCAAAAATACATTAAGAAATTACTCACAAGTGCATGTTTAACTGAACTATTTATCGTTTTCAGATTATTCATCGATTATGCAGCTTGCCTCGGCCAATACAAGTAAAGATCTTTATATAATATTCATAGTTTGATTTGATGATTTTAAAAGTGTTTTTAAATTTAACATATTAACGTTGTTTGTAAAACAATAACATCTTTTTAACGTAAAAAAATTAACGTGATTATGAACATTTCATAAAGATAATAAATATATTTTTATTTAAGTTATCTTTAATTTACCCATTACTTAATGTGTATATCTCATACAAATTTATAATAATTACAGAACAAAGCAATTTACTCAAACTAAAAGATCTTTTGAATGATCCTACGACAGTAAATACGGGAGATAAAAGTCTACTAGGTAAGTTCTACAAAGCCTACTTGTGTCAATTCGGACAACTGTGGTTTTTTTAAATTTATGAACCTTTTATTGTGTTCATGATGAACATGATTGATCACTTCTGACATATTTGGTCGATTTGGACATGTTTTGTTTATGGTCAGTATGAACCTGTTAGATCAGTTGGATAGTTCGGTCAACAATTTGATCATCCTCGCTTTCAACAACTACGTTGGGAGTCTTTCGTCGTTAAGTCTGCATGAATCTTTACATTTGATACAGCGATTGATGCGTTAGATTGAATGTCAAATGTCATGTAGTTCCTAGGGCTTGGCCAATTTGACGGTGTGTGATAAGTCTAAACGGTGGTGGTTGATGTCCAATCTTACGGTGTGTGATAAGTCTAAACTGAGGTAGTTGATGTCCAATCTTACGGAGTGATAAGTCTAAACTGTGATGGTTGATGTCCAATCTGACTATGTGATAAGTCTAAACTGTGGTGGTTGATGTCCAATCTTACTGTGTGTGATAAGTCTAAAGTGAGGTAGTTGATGTCCAATCTTACGGAGTGATAAGTCTAAACTGTGATGGTTGATGTCCAATCTGACTATGTGATAAGTCTAAACTGTGGTGGTTGATGTCCAATCTTACGGTGTGTGATAAGTCTAAACTGAGGTAGTTGATGTCCAATCTTACGGAGTGATAAGTCTAAACTGTGATGGTTGATGTCCAATCTGACTATGTGATAAGTCTAAACTGTGGTGGTTGATGTCCAATCTACCGGTGTGTGATAAGTCTAAAGTGAGGTAGTTGATGTCCAATCTTACGGAGTGATAAGTCTAAACTCTGATGGTTGATGTCTAATCTGACGGTGTGATAAGTCTAACCTGAGGTGGTTGCATATCCTATTGTCAACCATTAGACCGATCTTCAGCCAAGTACCGAGGGTGTCAAAACCGATAGTTGGTCAATAGAGACTTCATGCCCATCAAATGACCAATGGTCAGTCTGGAATATAAGTACTCGCAATATGTTTAGTAATTTTTATCCTTGCACCTTGAAAGGAAAATTAGAGCAACTACATCTAATTTCAAGGCGCCAGCTCACTTGCAACCCCAGCACACTCCAGCCCCAGCACACTCCAGCCTTAGCACACTCCAGCCTTAGCACACTCCAGTCCCAGTACACTCCAGCCTTAGCACACTCCAGCCCCAGCACACTCCAGTCCGAGGACACTCCAGTCCCAGCACACTCCAGTCCCAGCACACTCCAGTACCAGCACACTCCAGTCCCAGCACACTCCAGTCCCTGCACACTCCAGTCCCAGCACAGTACAGTCCCAGCACACTCCAGTCCAAGCACACTCCAGCAACAGCACACCCCAGTCCCAGCACACTCCAGTCCCAGCACACTCCAGTCCCAGCACACTCCAGTCCCAGCACAGTACAGTCCCAGCACACTCCAGTCCCAGCACACTCCAGTCCAAGCACACTCCAGCCACAGCACACTCCAGCAACAGCACACTCTGGCCACAGCACACTCTAGCCACAGCACACTCCAGTCCCAGGACACTCCAGCCACAGCACACTCCAGCCACAACACACTCTAGCCACAGCACTCTCCAGTCCCAGCACACTCCAGTCCCAGCACACTCCAGTCCCAGCACACTCCAGTCCCAGCACATTCCAGTCCCAGCACACTCCACTCACAGCACACTCCAGCCACAGCACACACTCGAGTCCCAGCACACTCTAGCCACAGCACAATCTAGCCACAGCACACTACAGCAACAACACACTCCAGTCCCAGCACACTCCAGTCCCAGCACACTCCAGTCCCAGCACACTCCAGTCCCAGCACACTCCAGCCACAGCACACTCCAGTCCCAGCACACTCAAGCCACAGCACACTCTAGCCCCAGCACACTCCAGCCACAGCACACTCCAGTCCCAGCAAACTCCACTCACAGCACACTCCAGCCTCAGCACATTCCAGTCCCAGCACACTCCAGCTGCAGGACACTCCAGCAGCAGGACACTCCAGTCCCAGCACACTCCAGCCACAGCACACTCCAGTCCCAGCACAGTCCAGCCACAGCACACTCTAGCCACAGCACACTCCAGTCCCAGCACACTCCAGCCACAGCACACTCCAGTCCCAGCACACTCCAGTCCCAGCACACTCCAGCCACAGCACACTCCAGCCACAGCACACTCCAGCCACAGCACACTCCAGTCCCAGCACACTCTAGCCACAGCACACTCCAGCAACAACACACTCCAGCCACAGCACACTATAGCCACAGCACACTCTAGCCACAGCACACTCCAGCCACAGCACACTCCAGTCCCAGCACACTTTAGCCACAGCACACTCCAGCCACAGCACACTCCAGCAACAGCACACTCTGGCCACAACACACTCTAGCCACAGCACACTCCAGTCCCAGGACACTCCAGCCACAGCACACTCCAGCCACAACACACTCTAGCCACAGCACTCTCCAGTCCCATTACACTCCAGTCCCAGCACACTCTAGTCCCAGCACACTCCAGCCACAGCATACTTTAGCAACAGCACTTTCTAGCCACATCACACTCCAGCCACAGCACACTCTAGCCACAGCACACTCTAGCCACAGCACACTCCATTCCCAGCACACTCCTGCCTCAGCACATTCCAGTCCCAGCACACTTCACTCACAGCACACTCCAGCCACAGCACACTCCACTCACAGCACACTCCATCCACAGCACACACTCGAGTCCCAGCACACTCTAGCCACAGCACAATCTAGCCACAGCACACTCCAGCCACAGCACACTCTAGCCACAGCACACTCCAGCTGCAGGACACTCCAGCCACAGCACACTCCAGTCCCAGCACACTCCAGTCCCAGCACACTCCAGCCACAGCACACTCCAGTCCCAGCACACTCAAGCCACAGCACACTCCAGCCACAGCACACTCCAGTCCCAGCAAACTCCACTCACAGCACACTCCAGCCTCAGCACACTCCAGTCCCATTACACTCCAGCTGCAGGACACTCCAGCCACAGCACAATCCAGTCCCAGCACACTCCAGTCCCAGCACACTCCAGCCACAGCACAATCCAGTCCCAGCACACTCCAGTCCCAGCACACTCCAGCTGCAGGACACTCCAGCCACAGCACACTCCAGTCCCAGCACACTCCAGCCCCAGCACACTCCAGTCCCAGCACACACCAGTCCCAGCACACTCCAGTCCCAGCACACTCCAGCTGCAGGACACTCCAGCCACAGCACACTCCAGCAGCAGGACACTCCAGTCCCAGCACACTCCAGTCCCAGCACACTCCAGCTGCAGGACACTTCAGTCCCAGCACACTCCAGCCCCAGCACACTCCAGTCCCAGCACACTCCAGTCCCAGCACACTCCAGTCCCAGCACACTCCAGTCCCAGCACACTCCAGCCCCAACACACTCCAGCCCCAACACACTCCAACCACAGCACACTCCAGCCACAGCACACTCCAGCCTCAGCAAACTCCACTCACAGCACATTCCAGTCCCAGCACACTCCAGCTGCAGGACACTCCAGCTGCAGGACACTCCAGTCCCAGCACACTCCAGCCACAGCACACTCCAGTCCCAGCACACTCCAGCCACAGCACACTCCAGCCCCAACACACTCCAGCCCCAACACACTTCAGCCTCAGCACATTCCAGTGCCAGCACACTCTAGCCACAGCACACTCCAGCCACAGCACACTCCAGTCCCAGCACACTCCAGTCCCAGCACATTCCAGTCCCAGCACACTCCAGCTGCAGGACACTCCAGCTGCAGGACACTCCAGTCCCAGCACACTCCAGCCACAGCACACTCCAGTCCCAGCACACTCCAGCCACAGCACACTCTAGCCACAGCACACTCCAGTCCCAGCACACTCCAGCCACAGCACACTCTAGTCCCAGTACACTCCAGTCCCAGCTCACTCCAGCCACAGCACACTCCAGCCACAGCACACTCCAGTCCCAGCACACTCCAGCCACAGCACACTCCAGCCACAGCACACTCCAGTCCCAGCACACTCTAGCCACAGCACACTCCAGCAACAACACACTCCAGCCACAGCACACTCTAGCCACAGCACACTCTAGGCACAGCACACTCCAGCCACAGCACACTCTAGCCACAGCACACTTCAGTCCCAGCACACTCTAGCCACAGCACACTCCAGCAAAAACACACTCCAGCCACAGCACACTCTAGCCACATCACACTCTAGCCACAGCACACTCCAGCCACAGCACACTCTAGCCACATCACACTCTAGCCACAGCACACTCTTGCCACAGCACACTCCAGCAAAAACACACTCCAGCCACAGCACACTCTAGCCACAGCACACTCTAGCCACAGCACACTCCAGCCACAGCACACTTCAGTCCCAGCACACTCCAGTCCCAGCACACTCCAGTCCCAGCACACTCCAGTCCCAGCACACTCTAGCCACAGCACACTGCAGCCACAGCACACTCCAGTCCCAGCACACTCTAGCCACAGCACACTCCAGTCCAAGCACACTCCAGTCCCAGGACACTCCAGTCCCAGCACACTACAGTCCTAGCACACTCCAGCCACAGCACACTTCAGTCCCAGCACACTCTAGCCACAGCACACTCTGGCCACAGCACACTATGGCCACAGCACACTCCAGTCCCAGCACACTCCAGTCCCAGCACACTCCAGTCCCAGCACACTCCAGTCCCAGCACACTCTTATTTTGTCCTCTTTTACTGACTAAAGTTTTCTTTAATTTTTTCCACATAACATTTGAAGACAATTATATTTTTTGTTGCACGACAGATTTTTCTTGTTTATGTAAATGTAAATGTTAATTCACGATAGGGATGCACTTATTTTGTTAAAGGGCTGAAAGAGACTTGGTGATGTCATTTGGGAAACGGGCATACTACGATTACCTTTCAGAAATAGGATGGGAGTGGGGTTTTAATACGGCTTAAATTATGGTAATCTATTATTTTAAGCTGAAATTCTCCGCTAAAGCATTGTATGTATTTAAAATCGACCACAGGTTACTGTGCTTCGTGTGTAAAATATTAATCCGAAATATACTTCGGATTAAAACAATGAGTATTTGGCAATTTGCAATTGAATATCGATAACAAAATATAATAAAGACAAAAACATTGGACAATTACTTTTTTCTCCTTTAGTACATTTGGAAAGTAAAGTTCTGGTCCTTGTCGGAAGACCCTTAACAAGGCAGAAAATGTATGTTTTGAATACATTTTAAAGACCATATCTTTTTTTTTAAATATATGTCACGAAAGAAAAATTGTTTTTTTTAAATATTGGATTGTGTCTAAATCATTGTTTCTTTCAATCATCTTTCTCCGAGTGGGAGGGGGGCTAAAAATTTCTGGGGGAGGGGGCGGACACTGGTTAAAGTTCATATTTTCTATAACCATTATATTTTTTAATTTGGTACGTGGGAGAAGGTGCCCCTCCCCCCCCCCCCCCCCCCCCCCCGAAGAGATGCCTTAAAGAAACTCTGATCTAAAAGCTTATTAAACTTATGAACTAAACCTATAGATTAGCCGAGTGTTGAGATTTTAAAGATTGATATTCAGGTAGTGATGCATTAGGGTTATCCACACTTAAAAGTTGTTCCGACTTCTAAACCATACAGAGGTACTTATCTATTAAAGGCCCAACAGTACGTCCATTTATCATTGGCTATTAACCATCTAGCATAATTTCTTTTGGACAGGTTTGAATGGACTTTTGGGAGCCAGCAGTGATCAATACAAGAACACCGGCGACAATGGTGGTCTTTTAGGTCTTGGAGGTGGGCTTTCAATCTCCAAACCTTAAATTTTTTCATGAGAACTTATGAAGTTTCTTGTATAACTCTTGTTACATCGATACTGAACTTTTTTTTTAACATCAGTGTTGGGCAGATTTTAAAAATATTTTTGTCATCAGTAGCCCCATTCAAATAATTCACAATTAAGTTATAACACTTTTTATTCTCTAAAATATTCATTGCCAGATCTAAAAATAATGGAATGATTTCTTGCACTTTAAAATATGTTTTATCTTAAATATTAAGCGCATCAAATAACAAACCCCAAATCACAAAAGTAGTTTTTATTGATTCATCCCTGCTTCAAACACATTAAACGTATATTAATAGAATTAATGTAACACATACCACAGGGGGGGTTATTTACACCTCATTTGATTGCGGCCCCTGTGGGACCGCAACGGTTGATGTTATTTTTGTGCTCTTTGGTGAGCAATGTTTTCCCGTGTTTCCCATGTCATGTGAGCTCTGGAACTCTGTGTAGTTGCGACCGTGTCCACTGGCATTAAGACTCCAGGCTGCGGATGGCCAGGACAATTGCTGACATGGACATTGAATAACGGGTTGTACATAGACTTAATGAATGGCTATATATCTATGTACATGCAATAATGTACTATTCTGTGTAATTCTGTGCATGCAATAAATAAGGACCCAGAAGCAAACAGCGTCGTTGGTTTTGTTGTCTCTCAAGATCAGCCCGTTAACACACTACACCTCAGTGGGTGATCATTACATCATATCCTCACTGAGGTGATGTTAAAGTAATATCAACGATCAAAATTAAACGTGGGATATGTATAGGTTTCTGTCGCAGCTTGCCAACCAAGCGTGTTGTTGTTGTTTTTTTCATTCAATATACTTACAGAGTTTTTTTTTAATAAAATACTATATAAAATGGATTAAAATATTTATTTAATCCGATTAAACGGTAATCAATGAAGTTTTCTAGTTTCAAAATGCGTTTATTTAAAATTTATTAAATCAAACAACTCTGTTACAAAATACATTGGAAGACTAATCGATTCTTTTCTCTCTCTCTCTCTCTCTCTCTCGCTCTCTCTCTCTCTCTCTCTCTCTCTCTCTCTCTCTCTCTCTCTATCTCTCTCTCTCTCTCTCTCTCTCTCTCTATATATATATATATATATATATATATATATATATATATATATATATATGTGTGTGTGTGTGTGCGTGTGTGTGCATGCGTGCGTCTGTGTGTGCGTGTGTGTGCGTGCATGTGTGTGGTGTGTGTGCGTGGGTACATGCGTGCGTGAGTGTGTGTGTGTGTGTGTAATAGGATGTGCACTATAAGTGAGGGTTTTGCGTGAGTTCTTTTGTCAGCCTAATGCTACCCTAATTTTGTTAAACACAAGTTAGCGATTACTATGTTTTTAGAATTTCTTCAAATTAATCTTAAAAATTGACAAGTATTGATTTACTGATTAAAATGTGCTCTGTAATTATAAAATCTGCTTCGTTTTAGTAAACAAATCTGACAAACGCTGTCCCCAAAAAGTCATATAAAATTTGACATTTGTATTTTTTGGTTTTTTTAACAACTTTTATACAGTCTCTCTGAATACACAACATGGTATTTATATCACAACAGGTCTGCTGGGCTTGGGAAGCACCAACACCAACCAGGAAACAAGGAATAAAGGTATTGACGGTGGTATTCGGTTATTTTTGTATGAGATCTGGTCACGGCGTATAACGAGAAGGCTAAGCTGCAAAGTACTAGGCCCATCTAAATGTACTTATTTACTTTCTCGTATGTGTGTGTGTGTGTGTGTGTGTGTGTGTGTGGCAGTGTGTGTGTCTGTGTGTGCCTGTGTGTGTCTGTGTGTCTGTGTGTTTCTGTGTGTGTGTGTTTGTGTGTGTCTGTGTGTGTCTGTGTCAATGTGTGTCTGTGTGTGTCTGTGTGTGTCTGTGTGTGTCTGTGTGTGTGTCTGTGTGTCTGTGAACACGATAACTTGAGTACAGTTAAACCAGGCTGATGAAATGTTATATATAAGTATTATATCAAATTTGTATTTCTTTATCAACTTTTCAACAATTTCCGGTAACCCGAAGTGGGACTTAATCTACTTTTAGTTTTTCAAAAGTGTATAATTTGAATTCTGTTTCAGATAGATAAATTAAATTTTATAAGTAAAAGATCTAATTTTCTGCCCTCTGTCAAAGTTTGAGTAATTTCTGTTGACCGGAAGTAGTAATTTACGCTATTTCCGATTTCTCAAAAAAAAAACTCTTTTTAATGTATAAAGTACTAATAATATTCAGTATTATTATACACAGATTTTTTGGCGTTCACTTGGTGCGCAATTCTTTTTTTTTTGCGAGATTATATTCTATTTAAAAAGTTTAAGTAATTAAAAATTGATTTTTAAAAATTAATAAAAAACGTGTTAATAACAAGCGTTAATATAAATTCACTAAAAAGTAGAAAAAAAAGAGTTTCTTTAAATATATATATTAATACATTACTATTTAAATAACTATAAAAAAAGCGTGGGCCACTTTAGAATCGATTGGATATCTTTACTAATATTTAGGAAGAGACCTACGCCTTTCTTTACGGTAATTTAAATAGTAGTGTTTTATTTATTTTCTACTTTTTAGTGCATTATTACATAAAAGATTGTTATTAAAATGTTTTTATGAATTGTTTTAGTATTTTAAATTTTTAAAATTTACAATAGAGTTGCATAACTAAAAACTATGCGCTTCTAATGAGCGTGATGACGCGTGTCTAATAGTGCGGAATAGTTTGATGAGATAGCCTACTAATTTGGACACAATTCATAAAAATTAATCAGGCATCCAATTAATTAAAATTTAATGTCATGTTGCATTGTCTTCATGTCTTGATCTCTGTGCCAACGTTGAAACAAATCTGTCAGTTAGAAGTGTCCGAAGTTTCTCTAGTGCGTTTCGATCTAGACAGACTGACGACTGACGACAGAGGAAATGAGTTAAATAAAAGCTTGTTAAAATCATTTCTATATCCTGAGTTGCCATCTCCCGTAATGTTATATAAGAATTTTCGAGAAAGTTTAGAGAAGATCACCCGCGGTTTATTTAACTTTATTTGAAGGTAAAAAAATTTTTTTTACTGTAATGGATTACTTGTACAATAGAACTCGTTCTTCGCGAACTACTGATAGTGTTTTAAAGCAAAATAGTTTCAGTCGCAGCATTGGTAGTGTCGAATTTACAAATTATGAATTACTGAAAAGTGGAAAGTAAAACAACTAAATATCGGCGTATGCTACGCCGCGGGTCGGTCCTAGGTTCTTTGACCACCGGTGTTATGATCATAGGGGGTTTGACCATAGGGGGTTTGACCACAGCGGGGCTTTGACCACAGATGGGCTTTGACCATAGGGGGTTTGACCACAGCGGGGCTTTGACAACAACGGGCTTGACCACAGAGGGGGGCATAATATATAAAATTTAAAATAGAAATTATAAACTGATATTTTAATTTTAATTTATTATCCAATTAATATCATTTTTACATGTTTCCTGAAAGTCCATTAATAGAAATTAACATGTATTGAAATAGTCAAGAACGATATTTTAGTCTCCACATAAAGGCTGGTGCTAGACCTCATAGATTTATTTTAAATATGAATGGAACACAAATAATGCGACATATAACACGTTTCACAAATAAATAATGTAGATGTACTTGAAAATGGTAACAGGGCATTTCCCCCCTATCAATTACCCCCGGACATTTCCCCCGGGAGTAATTACCCCCCCCCCCTGTCAATTACCCCCCGCCCGTAGGACATTATCCCCCGGACAGGGTTAGAGTTAGGGTTAGGGTTAGGCTTAGGTTTAGGGCTAGGGTTAGGGTTAGGGTTAGAGCTAGGTTTTGGGGCTAGGGTTAGGGTTAGGGGTAGGGCTAGGTTTAGGTTTAGGACTATGGCTAGGGTTAGGGTTAGAGTTAGGGCTAGATTTAGGACTAGGGCTAGGGTTAGGGTTAGAGTTAGGGCTAGGTTTAGGGCTAGGGTTAAGTTAGGGTTAGGGCTAGGTTTAGGTTTAGGGCTAGGGTTAGGTTTAGGGTTAGGGTTAGGGTTAGGGTCAGGGCTAGGGCTAGGGATAGGGTTAGGGCTAGAGTTAGGGTTAGAGCTAGGGTTAGGGTTAAGTTTAAACCAATGTCTAGCGTTAGTTTTGGTTTTGTGTGAAGTTTTAGGCTAAGGTGGATGTTTAGGTTTTGGTCTTTTTCTTATGGCATGGTCAAAGCCCCTATGGTCAAAGCCCCTATGGTCAAAGCCCCTATGGTCAAAGTCCCTATGGTCAAACCCCCCTATTGTCAAACACCCTATGGTCAAAGCACATGCGATCAAAGGTCAGTGCACCCGCGGGTCTGCTCGTGATAATTAATTTAATATCAAGAAGATCCGAGTTTTATTATTGGATAATATTAGTTTTATAATACCAGCACGTATATTGGAAAACAATGATTTTAGACATATTGATATTATCGTTTAGTTTGAAAAGTTAATAGAATGTCACAAAAATGTGTATCACCAAAAAACAAGATAACTTTGCATTTTTTTATTGTATCCTATAGGACTGGTAGGCAACCTTCTAGATGTCCTGCTAAGCAAATCTCCAGTGAGTGCTAAGAACAAAGGCGAGACATTTGGTGAGATATCCCTTTATAATATATTTCAGTTAAAATCCAAGACCATCTTCTATTTGATAAAACGACCTATTTTATACCTTTAAATTGTCAGTTGTATTTTTCTCTTTAAAATAACAGCAAAAAAAAACATGCATTAAAATCGGGTTGACTGTGAAATACTTAAGTTATTTAAATATTTAATGTAATTATTACATCTTACAGGTGGGGACTGTTGCTGGGTAGGCACAATCATACAAAAAATACTTCCTTGTATATAATAAAGTTACCCTTTCAAACCTAGTGATACACGAGTCAAATGAAGTAGAGTTTACATGTTTCTTTGAACTCGGCATATAAAATGGATAGTGTGGTCAGTACTAAGCCCAGCCGCCTTTACTTTCCCTGCCTCAAGACAGCGATCCGAACGCGAGACGCAGCAGTCAGGTTAGCAGTCGTACGCTGTACCAATCCAACCACCTCTTCCCATTGGTATATAATAAATGGTTTTAATTTTCTATCTAGAACTAGGTTCGATTGTAGATTTTGGTAGAAACGGAATATTCCAAGATTACGGTGAGCTATTTGTGTGTTTAGCTAAATTTATATACTCATATATACATATATATATATATATATATATATATATATATATATATATATATATATATATATATATATATATATATACATACTAGCCGTCCCAGCCAGGTCATGCACTGGCTTCTGTGAAAAACCTATCTTTAAAGGACAGTGTTTATTAAGCAGCTTATACCCGGCATGGACGTTTGACAAATAAAGAAATAACCCTAAACCCAACTCTGACTTTAAACTTAACAATAACCATGACCAAAAAACCAAAAAAACCAAAACCAAAAAACAAAAGCAAAAGCAAACACAACACAAACGCAAACTAAAACACAAACAACCACAAACACAAACGCAAACACAAACAAAACACAAACGCAAACGCAAATACAAATGCAAACATAACACAGACACACACACTGAAGGAAACACAATCACAAATGTAACCACAAACAAAAACGCAACCACTAACGCAATAGCAAACACAAAAGTTTACACAAACACAAACACACATATAAACACAGCAGAAACACAAATACAAACACAAAAGCAAACACAAACTCAAACGCAAACACAGATACAAACGCAAGTACAAACGCAATTAATAATGCAGAACATAAACACGAATTTAATTGCAAACATAAACACATAGTGCTCACAGTATAGACCTTGGCGTCAAATCGCACCCTGCCGGGGCGCCGGTGGAACCATCTGATACAAATTATTAAACGACTATGATACACCGTCTATTGAACTCACTAAAGCGAACGTAGGCGTCATAGTGCTCACGGAAAGGTCCGGAAGACGCCCGGTTTCGATTTAGTTAAGACCATAGCAGTAGCGTACGCAGGGGGGGAGCAGGGGGAGCGGCCGCTCCCCCTCTGGCCATTTTCAGCAAAGTGGAGCCTTTTTGGAAACTTTTTAAACTCAAAGTTTTAAACAATGATATTTGTTAAAAAAAATATTTTTGGTCGGCACATCTATGTAAATCACAAGATTTCTTTTCATGCAGCAATTAAGCATTATTGTACTAGTCTAGTAGTGTCTACGTTTACAACAGCTGCATCAGTTTGCCATTCTAAAAATAACCATTATGATGCATTGCAATGTTTAAAAAACCTCTACGGGTAGTACCACTTTGCAAGAGGGGTGTTAAGTTTAAGGCAACTGTATAATGTATTTGCTTACGAATAATTGAATTAGAAAATATTATACATAAAACTTCACACACAATTACTTTAAATATACAGTTTGAATCGTGTGATTATTTTTTTTTTTAAATTACAATACAGAAACAAATACAACTGATGTGGCAACTCTATTTACATTTACTTATGAGCAAACTGCGTAGTGGTGGGGAAATTTTGACAAAGTCGACAACGTCACCACGATGAAGTAGTATTATTCTTACAGTTTGGGCGATAGTGATTACGATTACAAATTATATGAAACAGTTACAACCCCCCCCCCCCCACCCCATGGACCCTTCTGTAAAAAAATATTGTCATAATATTGTCACAATTGTGTAGAGCGACATTAATGTCACACCTAGGTATACACTGGGTTTGATAATTGACCTAAAGTGACCGGATAGTGGTGAATGAAGTTGACCCCCCCCCAACCCACCCCGAACTGATCCGTTAAGTACATGTAGAAAAACGCAAAATGATGTACCAAAGTACCATGCCGCCAGAAAATTAGATTTTTAAACGTAAGACTCTGTGAATATTGTTTTTGCAATTACCAGTAAAAGGTTTGTGATCAATACAGTGATCTAACCCATACCTATCACTATGTTAAAAATGATCTTTAAAGAACTCAAAGAAGCAGTAGTTAATTAAAAATATATGATCTGAACCAAAAGACGAAAATGTAGTTAAATGTAGGCTGTTATTTCGAATGTTTTCAATTGGACCGAAAAGCGTGGTTTTATACCAACTCTGATTTTAAAAACTTTCATTATGCTGTAATACTTTAGCATTTATGATGACGATATATTAAATTAGGTATATAGACAAAAACATTTTATAAACAAGAATAGTGTTAAACAATTTCATTATATTCTAAAGTAATTATTTATTTGTTTTGACATTTATAATTAAATGTGTAGATGTATACATATTTATATTAAGAGAGTAATTATTTCCCCTATTTCACTTGTCTTAAATAATTTCCCAGGAATTATTATATAAGAATTTTTTTACAAGAATTTCAAAACAGATTGTGTTACGTTCATTGTTTTTGGTTGTAGTGTGTGTATATATTTTTTTAAAGATTGATACAACTTTTGTTTTGTCGGCCTACATTGTGTGTTTTTTCTTATTTCTTCAGAGTGCTACTTTCAATTTATTTTACATCATAGCGAAGTAATGACATACAGCTAGTAATTATATATATATATATATATATATATATATATATATATATATATATATATATATATATATATATATATATATAATACACGTATATAGAACGTGTTAAAATTCGGCGCCTTTTTTTTTTGCTCTTTTCGCTCCCCCTACAACGAAAACCTGGATACGCCTCTGGACCATAGTAACCCTTCTTATTCATACTCTATCGAACTGTTTAAAACGAACGTAGGTGCTTTGGCGCTCACGTGAATGCCCAGAAGCCGCCCTGGATTCTATTAAGTCCACGACTATAGTAAACCTTTTTATTCACTATAATACCCTCAGTTTGTCCGCAAACCAAAAGATAGAAGTAAACATTGAGGACTTTTCAAGAGCGGGTTCTAAACTATTATTGATTAAAAATAATAATTATTAAACAGTACTTTCAGTGTATACAATAAATAAAAGGCAGTATTTAAAATTTCCGTGTTTTACCTACCACACACACACACACACATATATATATATATATATATATATGTATATATATATATATATATATATATATATATATATATATATATATATATATATATATATATATATATATATATATATATATATATATATATATGCCTTGTTCTATTATGATATAAAGTACTTTCAAAACTTTATTTTTATGTAATATTTTACTATCTATATTTTTAATATTTTATGTAACTTTGAGATTATTGCATATTTAATTTTGAGCATAAGTCAGGCATTAACGACCATGAACTCATACATCTTGTGTCCCATAGAGTTATGGGTTTTATAAAAATTCTCGGTGTATAAAATGTACCTCTCTGACAACTTGTATCAGGTCTGAACACAAGTCTGACGAGTAGTCTAAACAATCTATTCGGGCCAATCAAAGGAATTCTGTACAGTCAGTATATTTTTACACGTTTATGTAAATCATTACCGCAGTAAGATTCACGAATGTATAAATTATGTTTGTTGTTTCTGTTGATTAATTTATTGAATGAAATTCCTTGTTTTAATTTGTCCTGAAATTAATTACAGGTTTTTTTTTTAAATTTAAAGACATTTTTTAAAAATTGTTTCGACGACGGCTTATTAAAAGCCATAGTATTATGTGACCCCCCCTCCCTTCCCCACTCCCTACAAAAATTATAATCTCCTATTATTGATAATAGCATCAAACTAACAGAAACTGAATTTATCCAGTTTGCTGTGCTTCGTTCAGACAATTTTTCTCCGGGTGAGGGAGGAGGCATTTGAAATTTTCGGGGAGCGCATTTAATTTTCCGCGATTCAGACACTAGTTAAAAAATATATTCTCTATATAAATTATATACTTTTTTCTATTTCGTTAAGGGGGCGTGTACTACGGGAAGGGGGGGGAGTACCACGAAGAGAAACCTGAAATAAACTGCTATTCGGAAATTTACAATTGTTAAAATACTTTTCTAGCCTTGGAAGATATCTGCGCGTTGTACAACAAACTGCTGGGAAGTTCTGTGGAAGTGAATGTCAAGCTCAGACTACTACAAGGTGAGTCTTGACCACAGCGACCGTGATAAAAGGAAACTAGAAAGAAGGAGTTCAAACTAACTATTTTCATTAGCCGGTAATTGAGATTGGGGGTCCAGTAAAACCGAGTGATTCGTTTCTTGTGCAGGAGTTAACATCCAATGGAAATTAATCACAACTTTCAGACGACATGTAAAATACTTTAGAAGTCTTAAAAATCCACCACTTACTAATGAATAATAACATTGTTAAAGGTCTTGCGCATGCCTTGTTAACAGTGGCGTAGGCAGGGGGGGGTCATAACCCCCCACCCATAGACCCCTCGGTATATATATTTAAAGTATGAGGGGGGGTAGCAAATCGAAAGTTTGAGGGGGGGGGGGTGCAAATCGAAAGTTTGAGGGGTCGGTTGCAAATCGAAAGTTTGTCCCCGGGTAAAAATTGGAACCCCCCCCCCCCCTTGAGACGAACCTGGCTACGCCACTGCTTGTTAATACCTTTTTTTAAAAACAGTCAAGACAAATGTTTTGGGTAGTTGCGTCACAATAATGGAGGGGGGGGGGTGGGGCGCATAGTGTGACACCCGACCTAGTGACGCCAATGTTTGTGGTGGGTGATTAAGTTGTGGGGGGGGGGCAATGTTTAGAACGGTTATGAACCATTTTTAATAAAGGGATTTCTCCTAACTTTACATATAATTCCACGCATGAAAACCCAGACTTACAATCGAATTAGATGGTAGCAGTCACGCAATCACTCGATCAGTCAGATGAACTGGCATTCACAAAAGTTTACAAATCTCCACAAGTCTAGATGCTAGCTTTAAAAGAGTTTAAATTCAATATTTTAGTAAGTGCGGTGACTTTATTACGATTGAAAGGGACAAATATATATGGCACTATATGTCTTTTGAACTTAAATAATCGGCCTACTTTTTTAAAATGTTGACTTCTGTTTCATTTCAAGATGTTTTACTATTTATTTGCTTCATCCACAGCCATCAAACTGTTTTTGTATATCAGAGGCATGGACCTGTGTGACGGTGAGTAGGATAGCTTGTTTAAAGTGTTGAGCAAGTTTAAACTATTAATCTAACATTATCTGTCAGTTCAGTTATCGAAGTGAGCCATTGATTTGGTCATGGAAATAAAAAAAAAATCTTTAATCTCTTAAAACCAAGTATACAAATATTTGAAGTTATCTAATATTGATTCAAACATTCGGTGGTTAAAGAGTGTAAATGTTACATGTTAACCAAAGTTTGTTTTGAGGCAAAGCTTTTCAACGTAGCCAAATGTTTACACCCGAAAGAGCTTTGCATTTGCATTCTATGGGGAAAGTTACCAAGCTGCCATCGGTTACTTTTCAAAGGTACGCTGCGTTCCTACTAGTGCCAAATTGGCTCTAAATGACTCTTCTCCGCATTTTCAAGAAAAATGATGTGATTTTTGTATTTTCTCTGCGTTGCCGGGGTAATAGTAAGAAACTCATCTCTGTTTTACCAGAAGCAGCATCGGGACTCGAGCAAGCGTTAAGTTTGTGAACATCAATGTGTCGATGCTTTCTTTTTTGTGGAAGTGTGCAGAGGCGTAGCGACCCTTCCCGGCGCCCGGGGACAAACTTTCGATTTGCACCTTCCTCAACCTTTCAATTTGTTTTTCCAACCCATTTTGGCGCCCCCTATGGTCGGCGCCCGGGGACATATGTCTCCCCCGCCCCGCCCCCCTTGTTACGCCGCTGGAGGTGTGGACTTGCTTGGTTGACCTCTATTGCATGTTTTTGTTAAGTTTTGTAAAACATTATTAATATATGACTTGCTATTAGTAAATATTAATTTAAACACATACGTTAGAATATAAAAAATATTTAAAATATTTTATTAAATTCAATATGCATCTGTTAAACAATTAAAACTAAAAAAAAAATTAAGTCACATTCTAGAAACAAATAAAAGAAAAGCTTGAAAAATGCACCCCGAGCATACGAAAAATGAGCGTTAACAAAAGTTAAAGGCAAATTGAAAAGAATGTGGTGCAATAAAAAAAAGTGTGGACGTACCGTTTGTTTGTGAAAACTTTAAACCTATAGACCAGGGGTCTCCAAACTACGGCCCGCGGGCCGGATGCGGCCCGCGAGGTCCTCTCGTCCGGCCCGCGGAGATCTTTTTGTCCACGGAAAAAACGTTTGTTGGTGATGGCTGGGGAACTTTGCTCAGAAAAATCACGACATGCCTGGACGAAACTGGCCCCCGAACTGAAATTTGATATTTAATGCGGCCCTCGGACTGAAAAGTTTGGAGACCCCTGCTATAGACTATTGGGGTGGGGGGTGGTGGGGAGTTGCGAGGTTTTGCGAACTGCGTCACGATATCAAAATTAATAATTGATTTTGTCCAGGTGGCGTTATGTGTTTATGACCTGATTTTTTTTTGGGGGGTGATGGGGGGGAGTAGGTAAGTGTGGTGGTTAGTTGGGGTAGAGCTTTACATGACTAAAAGGGTGCAGACGGTGATGGATGGGGGTGTGGATTATGGGGACAAAAATACTTTAAAGAGAATATTGCAATAAGACTTGCTTTCAAAAAAAATTGAGCTAAAATTCAATAAGTAAAACTCACTTGTAATTATATTTAATCCCTAACCCTTTTTCCAATGTCACTCGCTGCAACAAATTTTGCTATAAAAAGACCGTGTGCGTTTTTCACGTCTGCAAAACCCAGCAGACGGATCTTGCCTCTGTTTGCTGTTCATCCCATCAGCGATCACAACTGTGCAGAGTCATTCTGTTCTTCAGTGTAAACAAAGTGATTTGGATCCACTTTAGCCATGAGAGTTTCTTGGCTGCTAGCCCTTGTGGCTGCAGCATATCTTCACTCATACACGACGGATGCAAAAGGCTTAACCGGCATTGGAAAGTCTGCTGATGACAAAGACCCCAAGGCACTTGGTTCACTCAGTACAAAGAACTCGGGTAAGCAGGGTGCTACATCGGACACCAAGCGAGACGATGGGTCAAACGATGACAAGAAGAATTCAAACAATGCGAAGAACACGGCGGGTGCTGCAAAGCCAACAGGTAAGCAGAACTCGCCCGAGACTGGCTCGAACAACAATGAGAAGAACAACGAGAAGGATAAAAACGCCCAGTCAGCGCAAACAGCTGCTTCTGCGTTTAAAAACGTTGGGAAGAGCAATGATCAGGACAAGAAAGATGCTGATAAGAACAAGAAAGGCAATGCCGTGGATTCGTCAAACACGAACGGTGGCACTGATAAAAATACTGGAGGGTCGAATGGCGGAGATAAAGACAACAGAGGCAAAAACGACGATGACGTCGAAGACATAATAAAAAATATATTTAAACCTGGAGACAAGAAGATTTCTGGTGGATCAGACAAGAAAGGCGGCAACTCTCCCGGTGGATCTGATAAAAACATAGATAAAGAAAATAAAGGCAAAAACGACGGTGGATCAGATAAAGATAAAGATAAAACTTCAACCAAAAACGGAGGTAAAAGAGGCGAGGGTAAAGGTGGATCAGATAAAGACAAAGATAAAACTTCAACCAAAAACGGAGGTAAAAAAGACGAGGGTAAAGGTGGATCTGACAAAGACAAAGATAAAGATAAAACTTCAACCAAAAACGGAGGTAAAAGAGGCGAGGGTAAAGGTGGATCAGATAAAGACAAAGATAAAACTTCAACCAAAAACGGAGGTAAAAGAGGCGAGGGTAAAGGTGGATCAGATAAAGACAAAGATAAAACTTCAACCAAAAACGGAGGTAAAAAAGACGAGGGTAAAGGTGGATCTGACAAAGACAAAGATAAAGATAAAACTTCAACCAAAAACGGAGGTAAAAGAGGCGAGGGTAAAGGTGGATCAGATAAAGACAAAGATAAAACTTCAACCAAAAACGGAGGTAAAAGAGGCGAGGGTAAAGGTGGATCAGATAAAGATAAAGATAAAACTTCAACCAAAAACGGAGGTAAAAAAGACGAGGGTAAAGGTGGATCTGACAAAGACAAAGATAAAGATAAAACTTCAACCAAAAACGGAGGTAAAAGAGGCGAGGGTAAAGGTGGATCTGACAAAGACAAAGATAAAGATAAAACTTCAACCAAAAACGGAGGTAAAAGAGGCGAGGGTAAAGGTGGATCGGATAAAGACAAAGATAAAACTTCAACCAAAAACGGAGGTAAAAAAGACGAGGGTAAAGGTGGATCTGACAAGGACAAAGATAAAGACAAAAAAGGCAAAAACGACGGTGACGTCGAAGACATTATAAAAAATATTTTTAAACCTGGAGACAAGAAGAATTCTGGTGGATCAGACAAGAAAGGCGGCAACTCTCCCGGTGAATCTGATAAAAAGAAAGACAAGTCCGGAAGTAAAAAAGATAAAATTCGTGGTGGATCTGACAAGAAAGACGGTGGCTCTAAAACTGGGTCTAATAAAGATAACTTGATTAAAAAATTGCTGGATTTCGGTGGCACGAAGAAGTCTGACGGTAAATCCAAAAGTCCAAACACAAAGGACAATTCTAAAACCAAAAATAAAGGATCAAAAGATCATTCAAAAGGAGGTTCCAAAAAGAAAGGTTGGTATTATAAATAGTCGCGTTTAGTTATAAAGTACATTTCATCTGTGCTTTGTTTATTTTTGTAATCAAAGTGCCCCATTTATACCGGATAGTAAGGAGTTAACTAACTTTTTGAGAAAAGCATTTAATCCGAAGATTTTGTGGCCAGTGCAATGCCCAGCCATGTTTATAGATAATTCAGATACCCATCAGACGTGGGTGCCTACAGAGATGTCCTACAGATGCTAGTCAGGTAACCGAACTCGACACTTCCGAGTATACAAAAACTAAAGGTTGTAGGAAATATTAAACACCTCGACTACTTATAAAAAAAGAAAATATGTTAAGGAGTTATTTTGAAATCAGTAAATTAGGCTTTCATTAGTGCAAAAGAAGCTATATATATATATATCTGAACTTATCCTAGTATACACGTATTAACACTAAAATTACAAAAAAAACAACATCTATTTATTTACTGCCAGCTATATAAATAAATATATATTTGTCTTATACTTCTGTTTAATAGACATATATTTGAGACGAACTACATTTTTTTTCGTCATTTTTTTCAGCCTCTTTTTACTTTCTCGTATACGAAGTATATAGGAGGTATTGCAATCGTGCAAAAAAAAATCTAGATTTTCACAAATCACAACGTTGTACACCTCGCTGAGTCGGAAAAAAACATAGTTTTGTAATTTTGTCCGTATGTCTCTGTGTGTGTATGTGTTTGTCTGTAAACGCGATAACTTGAGTACCGTTACATCTAGATTAATGAAATATCATATATAAGTATTATATAAAATTTGTAGTTCTGTATCAACTTTTCAGCAATTTCCAGCAACTGGAAGTAAAACTTATTCTACTTTCAATTTTTCCAAAACCTATAGCTTGAATACTGTTTTTGATAGATAAATGAAATTTCACATATAAGTAAAAATTTATAATTTTCTGCCTTCTGTCGAATTTTGAGTAATTACCGACAACCGGAAGTAGTACTTTACGCTATTTCCGTTTTATCCAAAAACGTTTATGAATTTATTAAGTACTAGTATTCCACACTATTATACAATCATTGTTTACCGTTCACTTGATGTGCATTTATTTTTGCACATCGAGATGTTATTCTATCTTTTAAAAGTTTAAGTAATTAAAAATGGAATAAAAATCATGTCTATATCCCGAGTTGCCATCCCGGTAGTGTTATATAAGAATATTCGACACCGTTTATGGGAGATCATTCTCGGTTTACTTACTTTCTCGTATACAGAGTATAGAGAAAGTAATGTAATCGTGCATAATAAAGCGGGGAGATCACAGTTCTTTATAGTATTCCATTTTCGATTACAATCAGAGATAGTGTGTTATAAAACTGTAGAATACACTCAGATGGGCGTGAACCGTCAAGTTCATATGGAGAAATACGATAGATGGTGATGCATGTAGGAGAGGGTATCAAAGAAAGGAGGAGGGGTCTTTTGAAGCTATTTGTGTTAACTGATCATTTGACGTGTTTTACTTTAGGAGCAACGCTGAAAGTAGAACACTTATGCGTTAAAAATTAAAATCATTGAGAGAAGACATACTTTAAGACACCGTTTACTAAAAAGTTGTTGGCGATTACATTTCGATTCCTTCACTGAACTTATTGTAAATATTTGTATTTCCATAATAGAAGAAGTAAATAAAAGCTAGATATCTAAATTATGACCAGCATACTCAGTTTAATATTTAGTTACATTAATTAATAACAAAAACGTATCACGAAATTAGATGAAATTTTATAATTCAAAGGCCAAATAAATATTTAGGTTCCTTATTTAGTCAATAATTAGAAGCTCCACGCTGGTTTCTTCTCCAGATAACGACTGCGAGGATGTAAAGCTAGAGAGTGTCAACTATGAGGTCGCCACCAAACAATTCGACAAAAACCGCAAGATCGCGTCCGTCTCCCTCGTCAACCAGATTTCCCTGACGGTTTGTGCGCTTGGAAAAACATTCGGCTTTGAGGGACATAAAGCTTTTGTCAACGGAGGATGCCGAGGGACATTGAGGGTCTGCTATGAGCGTGACACAAGTGGGTCCAAAACTTCTTTAAAATGTTGCCAATATATATATATATATATATATATATATATATATATATATATATATATATATATATATATATATATATATATATATATATATATATATAGTGACCTACTTAGGTGTTTCTTTCTTTATATAATTTAGTTTCTTAGTTCAGTTAATCGACCTCGAGAGAGTTGTACGGTAACCTGAACTCCTCGGTCACCTGAACTCCTCCGTCACGTCATGTGATTGGATTTTAATTGGTTATTCCGATCCGTAGCAGATCCTCGACCAATGATCTTACGACATTAAAGATCCTTAGCAGTCCTAGACCAATGGTCTTACGACATTAAATTAACCTCCCTTGGTTTTGATCTTGTATATAAACCCGTGCACGGCAAGTCTCGGGGCAGCTTTTGACCCTAAATCCCGGACGAGCCCCCACTTATTATGATCGCCATCTGACAGCCGCAGATCAGGCGAACACCCCGGGTTCGTTTAATTGTAGTTATGGACAGAGATCCACTAGACAGTATGAACACAACAAAAACTACGTGGGCTCGTCAAAATGGTCTAGGGGAATAGACACGTAGAAATGATGTGACACAACTTGGCGTTACTGTCAACTACTGTTTAATTTGTGTCCAAGTATAAATAAATGACACTAGGGCAAGTTGTGTCACATCATTTCTACGTGTCTATTCCCCTAGACCATTTTGACGAGCCCACGTAGTTTTTGTTGTGTTCATACTGTCTAGTGGATCTCTGGCCATAACTACAATTAAACGAACCCGGGGTGTTCGCCTGATCTGCGGCTGTCAGACGGCGATCATTATATATATACTAGCTGCATCCCGTGCTCCGCCACGGTAAATCTTTTTTAAATGTACCAACTTTGGAACAGAGCAAAACAAACAAAAACATAACACAAACACAAACAAAACACAACCACAACACAACACAACCACAACACAACACAACAAAACAAACAAAAACATAACACAAACACAAACAAAACACAATCACAACACAACACAACCACAACCACAACCACAACCACAACCACAACGACAACACAACCACAACATAACCACAACACAACACAACCACAAACACAACCACAACACAACCACAACATAACCACAACACAACACAACCACAACACAACCACAACACAACACAACCACAACACAACCACAATACAACCACAACACAACACAACCACAACACAACCACAACACAACCACAACCACAACACAACCACAACACAACCACAACACAACACAACCACAACACAACCACAACAATAGAATCACCAACGAACAACACGCTTTTCTTAGGCATCCGCGCCCAGAGAGAGCCTTTCCAGCATTCTCTATACTATAATTCTAAATTTTCACCATCTGTTAACACCGAAAAACAAAAACAAAAAAATAGTGATTTTGAGAGATCATAGTCTAATTAGAAAATAATGTAAATAATCTTAACATTTTTTCTATTTTACTTAACATATAATAATCAATGTGGAAGTAATAAAAAAAATTAACTTAATTTATTGAGAGTGAGTTGAATATTTAAAAAAAAAACATTTTCCCATACGTCCGCGCTCAGAGAGAGCCTTTCCATTATTCTCAAAAAGTCTAATTTCACCATCTGTTTTCATAACACCGAAAAACAAAAGCAAAAAGATAGTGATTTTAGAGAAATCATAGACTAATTAGAAAAAAAAAAATAATATAAATAATCTTAACATTTTTCTCTTTTAATTATGAACATTAACATATACTAATCAATGCGGTAGTAATACAAAAAAGATTAACTTAAATTATTGTTGAGATAAATATATTTTCAAATTACCTCCCTTGAAAAAAATTACCACAAAAAAAAGTTGAATTAATTAGTTTTTTCGACCTACTTTTATGGAAATGTATCCATTTTTTCTAGGAATATAAACTAAAATTATATTTGACATTGATCTTTTTAATATGTTTTAGCAATGTGCGAATATTTAATATTTTCATAACGTTATGCAAAAAAGTAAACACAGTGTCATTTATAAAATAGCTCTATGCCGCTATATAAACAAACCCTACTCTAACACTTATAATAAGACACTGCGGTGCACTGAAAAGCACAACATGGTGCGTAGTTTACTTTTATAGTCCCAAAATCTATAGCGATGACGGACGGAAGGAAGGAAGGAAGGACACGCTCAGCCCGCTTATATTATACTAGGCATACTGCCTAGCTTCGCTTAGGTTTTCAAAAAAGTTAAGAAATTGAATGATTAATTAATAGGTGATTGGCTGTTATGTTAATGCTTAGGGCCTAAATTTATACAGGGGTACTTTTATTGTGCCCATAAATTGATGGAATATTCGCAAACTTATTACTCGCAAGGTTATCAGAACTGAAAGGGCTTTCATAAAAATTATTAATCAAACATAATATTAAATTACTTTTGCAATTAATTTCACAATTTCAATACAATACAAAACTTAATTTTTAACAAAATATCCATTTAAAACAATGCTATACATTATGAGTTTTGTTTTTTCTTAAAAAGAGTATACAAAATATTAAAAAATTGTTACATTAAAAAGTTACCGCCCCTGTTCATAGACCAAATAACCAAATCTCGTATAATGAGAATTTCAATCGCAGTCATTTTTAGCCCTCTTCGAGGGCTTTGATGCTGACCAACAGTTTTTCCATACGGCCCAGTCATCTATAGAGGTGTATGCAAAAAATTAGCCAGTTATACAAAGAGTTAGTACCCTAAAATTTGTATAGAATTTACCCTGTTTTCCCCATAAAATACAAAGATTATATAGGGAAATACGACTGGTCAGTTTTGACCCATTTCCCGATTTTTCCCGGACATGGTGAGTTTTTTGTGACACCCCAAGGCGTTCTCCTACTACCTCACAAAATATCAAGGGGGGTCGTCGGAGGAAATTTTTTTTCGTAATAGAGCTCATATAAAGAGAATTTCACTCGCGGTCACTTTTTAGCCCTCGTCGAGGGCTTTGAGTGTAACCGACAGTTTTCCCTAAAGGTCAAGCCATTGACCTAGGAGCATGCAAAAAATTAGCCAGATATACTGAGCTTAAGTACCCTAAAGTCTGCGTTGAAATGACCCTCTGTTTTTCCCATAAAATACAAAGATTATATAGGGAAATACAACTGGTCAGTTTTGACCGCTTTACGAAGTTTTCCCAGATATGCCGAGTTTTTTGTGACACCCCTAGGTGTTCTTCTACCACCTCACAAAATATCAAGGGGGGTCGTCGGAGGAAATTTTTTTTCGTAATAGAGCTCATATAAAGAGAATTTCACTCGCGGTCACTTTTTAGCCCTCGTCGAGGGCTTTGAGTGTAACCGACAGTTTTCCCTAAAGTTCAAGCCATTGACCTAGGAGCATGCAAAAAATTAGCCAGATATACTGAGCTTAAGTACCCTAAAGTCTGCGTTGAAATGACCCTCTGTTTTTCCCATAAAATACAAAGATTATATAGGGAAATACAACTGGTCAGTTTTGACCGCTTTACGAAGTTTTCCCAGATATGCCGAGTTTTTTGTGACACCCCTAGGTGTTCTTCTACCACCTCACAAAATATCAAGGGGGGTCGTCGGAGGAAATATTTTTTCGTAATAGAGCTCATATAAAGAGAATTTCTCTCGCGGTCACTTTTTAGCCCTCGTCGAGGGCTTTGAGTGTAACCGACAGTTTTCCCTAAAGGTCAAGCCATTGACCTAGGAGCATGAAAAAAATTAGCCAGATATACTGAGCTTAAGTACCCTAAAGTCTGCGTTGAAATGACCCTCTGTTTTTCCCATAAAATACAAAGATTATATAGGGAAATACAACTGGTCAGTTTTGACCACTTTACGAAGTTTTTCCAGATATGCCGAGTTTTTTGTGACACCCCTAGGTGTTCTTCTACCACCTCACAAAATATCAAGGGGGGTCGTCGGAGGAAATTTTTTTTCGTAATAGAGCTCATATAAAGAGAATTTCACTCGCGGTCACTTTTTAGCCCTCGTCGAGGGCTTTGAGTGTAACCGACAGTTTTCCCTAAAGTTCAAGCCATTAACCTAGGAGCATGCAAAAAATTAGCCAGATATACTGAGCTTAAGTACCCTAAAGTCTGCGTTGAAATGACCCTCTGTTTTTCCCATAAAATACAAAGATTATATAGGGAAATACAACTGGTCAGTTTTGACCGCTTTACGAAGTTTTCCCAGATATGCCGAGTTTTTTGTGACACCCCTAGGTGTTCTTCTACCACCTCACAAAATATTAAGGGGGGTCGTCGGAGGAAATTTTTTTTCGTAATAGAGCTCATATAAAGAGAATTTCACTCGCGGTCACTTTTTAGCCCTCGTCGAGGGCTTTGAGTGTAACCGACAGTTTTCCCTAAAGTTCAAGCCATTGACCTAGGAGCATGCAAAAAATTAGCCAGATATACTGAGCTTAAGTACCCTAAAGTCTGCGTTGAAATGACCCTCTGTTTTTCCCATAAAATACAAAGATTATATAGGGAAATACAACTGGTCAGTTTTGACCGCTTTACGAAGTTTTCCCAGATATGCCGAGTTTTTTGTGACACCCCTAGGTGTTCTTCTACCACCTCACAAAATATCAAGGGGGGTCGTCGGAGGAAATATTTTTTCGTAATAGAGCTCATATAAAGAGAATTTCACTCGCGGTCACTTTTTAGCCCTCGTCGAGGGCTTTGAGTGTAACCGACAGTTTTCCCTAAAGTTCAAGCCATTGACCTAGGAGCATGCAAAAAATTAGCCAGACATACTGAGCTTAAGTACCCTAAAGTCTGCGTTGAAATGACCCTCTGTTTTTCCCATAAAATACAAAGATTATATAGGGAAATACAACTGGTCAGTTTTGACCGCTTTACGAAGTTTTCCCAGATATGCCGAGTTTTTTGTGACACCCCTAGGTGTTCTTCTACCACCTCACAAAATATCAAGGGGGGTCGTCGGAGGAAATTTTTTTTCGTAATAGAGCTCATATAAAGAGAATTTCACTCGCGGTCACTTTTTAGCCCTCGTCGAGGGCTTTGAGTGTTACCGACAGTTTTCCCTAAAGGTCAATCCATTGACCTAGGAGCATGCAAAAAATTAGCCAGATATACTGAGCTTAAGTACCCTAAAGTCCTCGTTGAAATGACCCTCTGTTTTTCCCATAAAATACAAAGATTATATAGGGAAATACAACTGGTCAGTTTTGACCGCTTTACGAAGTTTTCCCAGATATGCCGAGTTTTTTGTGACACCCCTAGGTGTTCTTCTACCACCTCACAAAATATCAAGGGGGGTCGTCGGAGGAAATTTTATTTCGTAATAGAGCTCATATAAAGAGAATTTCACTCGCGGTCACTTTTTAGCCCTCGTCGAGGGCTTTGAGTGTAACCGACAGTTTTCCCTAAAGTTCAAGCCATTGACCTAGGAGCATGCAAAAAATTAGCCAGATATACTGAGCTTAAGTACCCTAAAGTCTTTGTTGAAATGACCCTCTGTTTTTCCCATAAAATACAAAGATTATATAGGGAAATACAACTGGTCAGTTTTGACCGCTTTACGAAGTTTTCCCAGATATGCCGAGTTTTTTGTGACACCCCTAGGTGTTCTTCTACCACCTCACAAAATATCAAGGGGGGTCGTCGGAGGAAATTTTTTTTCGTAATAGAGCTCATATAAAGAGAATTTCACTCGCGGTCACTTTTTAGCCCTCGTCGAGGGCTTTGAGTGTAACCGACAGTTTTCCCTAAAGGTCAAGCCATTGACCTAGGAGCATGCAAAAAATTAGCCAGATATACTGAGCTTAAGTACCCTAAAGTCTGCGTTGAAATGACCCTCTGTTTTTCCCATAAAATACAAAGATTATATAGGGAAATACAACTGGTCAGTTTTGACCGCTTTACGAAGTTTTCCCAGATATGCCGAGTTTTTTGTGACACCCCATGGGGTTCTCCTACCACCACACAAAATTTCAAGGGGGGTCGTCGGAGGAAATTTTTTTTCGTAATATAGCCCATATAAGGCGCCGGTCAGTCGAGGTCAGTTTTGACCCCCTCTCCGTAGACTTTTCGGCCAACCGTCACCGGCCCTCGTGTTCTATCGCCCCAAGGCACCATCGTGCCAAATTTGACGCGCCTGCGGCGCCGGGAAGTGCCCTATCGGGCACCCGACCACTTTGCTTTATATATATAGATATATATATATATATATATATATATATATATATATATATATATATATATATATATATATAATAAATTATAGATCATGTAGATTTATCTAATGATGAAATTGTTTAGTACATGAAGAAATTATGATTCTAATACTGTCTAGAACCCAAAAAGTTGAAGTGTAAAGCACCATATCGAGACATCTACGGCTACTGTCTCCTGCCAGTCACTGACAATAAGAGGTAAGAAATTCATTGTTTGCTAAATGATGGCACAATTTCACGGCGTGTCAAGCGTATTTAAACGTTTTGACCCGTTAGACGTAATCGAGTAATTTTATTAATATTTAAGTGGATGCTCCTGGCCGTACTGCATACGTGTAAGTAGACACCAGGTATAAACTACCATCTAGTTCAGGGGTCTCCAAACTACGGCCCGCGGGCCGGATGCGGCCCGCGAGGTCCTCTCATCCGGCCCGCGGAGATCTTTTTGTTCACGCAAAAAAACATTTGTTGGTGATAGCTGAGGAACTTTTCCCAGAAAAATCAAAGACATGTCTGGAAGAAACTGGCCCCCGAACTGAACTTTGATAGTCAATGCGGCCCTCGGGCTGAAAAGTTTGGAGACCCCTGATCTAGTTTATCATTTTAATGTGAAACATGCATGCATATTAATAGACTTTATGTATTAAATACAGTAATGTGATGCGTTCTTTGAAAGAGCGATTAGAGATTCATTTAACAATAGAACTGAGATAACATGGCAATAGTTCGCAATTAAATTTTTGAACGTTGACAACAGTAAAAAAAATTCTAATTTTTAAAAATTGTTTATTTTATTGTTTCGTAAGATTCTAAGCTTAAGAAATTGAATGTGTAATGACGTCTACATAAAAACATTAACAATCATCTTGGTTCTATGATATACTTGTCTTATTGAATTAGGATATTTCTTGCAAGTTTGTCTTTTATTCTTTATTTATAATGATAAGTAATATTAAGTACAATTTCAGTTGGGGTTTTATCCTTTATTAGTCGGTCTTTTGATATATTGGCCTTTTGGTATATCGTCCTAATACCCATTGGTATTATTTAGTCGGCCTTTTAACCGTGGGTCTTTTGTCAGTCGGCCATATGGCCTGTCGGCTTTATATATTCTCGGCCTTTTGGCATGATTCCTATATAAAACGGATAGGAAATCTATCTTTCAAAAATAAAACGATGCGGCAGCGGTTGTACGAGTGGAATCGAGCTCTAGAAATTAACTTCGGTAATTGAACCTGGTGTCAAATTGAAGTGAAAATTGTGATGTTTCTATACTTTTTGGGCAATGATAACATTTAATCTTTTATTTTTGCTTACGTCCGGTGGCGTAGCGAGGTCTGGTGTCACCAGGTACCGACCCCCCCCCCCCCCGAAAGAATATATATATATATATATATGGAATATATATATATATATATATATATATATATATATATATATATATATATATATATATATATTCCATATACACTTGTAATTAGTTGTATACGCATGTTTATATGTATTCAAATATTTTTTTCTTCTGGATGTATTTAATTTTTTTACCCCCCCCCCCCCCCCCCCCCCCCCGACCTCATACATGGATTAACATATAGGTTATTACTATTCTCAACCAAACCGTTTTCCTCAGGCATATATATTGCAACGTTGAGTTGATGTCACTTCCCCCCCCTGCCCCCCCCCCTCCCAAAATTCCCCTTCTCCCCCCCCCCCCCACCATCAACCCCATAGGTGATTACTTTAAACTGTGCTCAGATAATACTAACGATTTGTATCTATATTCGCTTATAATATAGCTGGATGTTGCGTGTTTTCTTTATAATTACCAGGTTTACGTCATGGTGGCACCCCCCCCCCCCCCCCCCCCCCGCTCCATCCGGTTCGGGATTCGTCCACTTTGCTCTTAAAAAGACTGTTTTTAATTTATTCTAATTAATCATTTAATTAAGTGAAATTATCATTTTTCTGTATATATTTTGCTTTTTTTCGCCCTAAGTGGTGTCACCCGGTGCGGTCCGCACCCCCCCCCCCTCCGCACCCCCCTCGCTACGCCTCTGCTTATGTCTTAAATATTTAAAATAGGACCTTCTCAGAGGCCGCAGACAAATGCGCCAGCCTGAAGGGACGCCTGGCCCAGCTGGACAACCCGGACTTCACAATTGCTGGCATCGTCGAGGAATTCCCAGAACTGGAAGGTGAACAATTTGTATTGATCACATTTCTTTTTCAATTAAATCATTCTTATTAATTAAGCTACCAGACTTCCCACTCAAAAAAAGTGATCACATTTACATTTTCCCAACACACACTTTTCCCTTGAGCCCCAACAATCAACGGACGAGTGGCGTAGCGAGGTCGGGTGTCACCCGGTGCGGCACTTAATGGTGTCACCCCCAGAGGCGTAGCGATCCTTCCCGGGGAGAACTTTCAAATTTTCGATTTGCACCCCCTCCCCTTTCAAACTTTCGATTTGCAACCCCTACTCAAACTTTCGATTTGCACCCCCCTCCCTGAAGTTTTTCTCTATATATTTTGCTACTTTTTGCCTTGGTGTCACCCCTAAATGGTGTCCCCCGGTGCTGTCAGCACCCCCCCTCTCTCTCGCTACGCCTCTGCGACGGACCACATTGTCCTTTTCCCCACTACATCGCTTTTAGACTATGTCCACAATACCTCTCTTCAGCCTCTCCTCTACTAAACAGAATAACTCGTTTACTTAATTTTTTTTTTTTTTGTGTATACACAAGTAAAGTTACCTTCAATGTTCCGTGTGTCCCATAGGCCACAGATGCTACTTCGGTGGAGGAAGCTTCAGTGAGACTCTTGTTACAAGAGTTGCGGACAAATTCAAAATGGACAAAAAATCATGCCAAGGCGCTTTGAAGTAAGGCAGTGTTTTTTAAATGTAATTTTAGAATTACATTGTTATGTTTTAATATCAGTATTACAATGTATTGTTTTATATGAAAGGAAGTTCTTTTTTTTTTAAATGAAATAAAGAATTGTAGTATTTATTTACTTGGTCTAATTTCAATATATTTATTGAATCATTTTTACTTTTACTTTTTAGAAAAGTATCCATTTTAACGCAATACTAAGTTTACTTGGTGTAATTCCAAAACTTCTATTAAATCGGTTATGTCGTTCTGTTTTTTTCTAGAAAATTCTCCAGTAAAGCGACCGTTGTTGATATGAACCAGAAGACGTCACTAAGCAGCCAATGTGTTGTCGCTGACTTCGACCAAACCAAAATGATGGACTTTGCTGATTGTAACGACAAGTTGCCTTTCATCTGCGAACAGCGTATGTAATGTTATACAGCAAAATATCAGTAGGGACCAACTGGTTGAACAGTAGTAACATGGGTGAGAGGAATGTGGTGACCCACGGGTCTAGTGGTGGTAAAATGGGTAAGAGAAATGTGGTAACCCTTGGGTGAGAGGAATGTAGTAACCAACGGGTCTAGTGGTGGTAACATGGGTGAGAGGAATGTAGTAACCAACGGGTCTAGTGGTGGTAGCTAGTAACATGGGTAAGATAAATTTGGTAACCCACGCGTCTAGCTAGTAACATGGGTAAGAGGAATGTGGTGACCCACGGGTCTAAAGGTGGTAACATGGGTAAGAAAAATGTGGTAACCCACGGGTCTAGCTGGTAACATGGGTGAGAGAAATGGCAGGATGTGTGAGAAGGTCTTAGTCTACCAAAAAATGTGTGAAAATTATTGGGCTTATCAATAGTGAACATATCGTTTACATGATTGTAATTATTATATTTTGAATTAAAAAATCTTTACATAAAATCTATTTAAGTACATTCGAGGTGTGGGTGGGGGGGGTAAAAAGGCCAAAGGGTATATATATATATATATATATATATATATATATATATATATATATATATATATATATATATATATATATATGTATATATATATATATATATATATATATATATATATATATATATATATATATATATATATATATATATATGTATATACTCTGTTTATATCCTATCACATTACTGGGTCGGATTTTTTAATAAAACGATTGTCATAGCATACAGAGGTGTTATTATTATTCTTCATTAACGAATATAGTCGTAAAAGATGACGATGAAGAAGACGACGCAGATGGTTGGAGCGAATGGATTAACAGCAACAGCGATCTACAGAACGGCGATGATGAGAATCTATCAAAAATTATCAAAAAAGCCACAGATGGCACCTTGGTAAGTCTATGGAAGCATAGGTCATGTTTACCGGTTAAACCTAAGTCAGTATTGTGTTCTTTTGTGTTCTTTTGAAGACGGTACGGTTGGGTTACATTAATAATATGATTAAAGCACTGAATAAAAAATTGAAAAATATTTTTAAAATGTCGTTTTCTTCAATGGCTGATCCAAATCTGACAATTAAGATCATGCGCGATCAAAACTTGTAAGTTCGGAGACTGAAAGGTCAAACGCCGTATGCCTTTTATCAAAGGCATGAAGACGTTGGGTTTTTATGTGTGTGAGAGGGGGGGGGGGGGGGGTTGGGGGGAGTGTTCGGTACAAGCACTAAAAGTCTACCTAAGACAAATCTACAAAATTGGGAAATCTAGTTCTAAAACAGCAGTCTATTTTCAATGTACAGCCCAATAAGAACGTGAAGCTGTGCAAGAATCCCATCAAGATGCAATGCCGAGCTGTAGGTACACAAGCACTCATCAGCAAGTCGAATACCAACGGTATCAAGCTGGACAAAGCCTGTGAGAGGAACGCCATCACCTGCAAAAACAACAAACAGGCTAAAGGCGCCAAGTGTCCAGACTACGAGGTCCGTTTCAAGTGTCCACCTTCACGTAAGTTGTTTTATGTTGTAATATATATTCACGTATTTTAGTCGCTAACGCTGTTTCAAAATTTTCAAATACAAACGTAAGAGAAAAACAAATTATTTAAAGTCGTGTCAAAAGAGCCACTACAGAAAACAAATACATAAAAACGTGTTAAACATTTTTAATGGATTTTTTAAATTTTTAGATTTATTTCTGTTTATTGATCGATAGCCATTATCTTGAAAAGAAGAAGAAAAAAACCAAATATCGTATTCTATTTCAGAAATTAATGACCTCGTATTCAAAATAAAAAAGGCAATATTTATTTCAGCACACATAATGTGTTACTGCGTATATCGCCATGCTCTCATTAACATATTCTGGTACCATCTTGCAGAACAAAACGACTGTTCAGTGGAAAGTTTCAGACAAAAATGCGAACAACAACGAAAGGACTGCGTCCAGACACCACTTGGGGGACAGTGTGTGAAGAAGAAGAGAGAAAAAACGGGCAAGGAAGAAATCGGCACAAGTTCATGCACAGTCAACGCAGTCACCTACAGTAAGTTTTGAACGACTCTCTGTAGCCGACTTTTGCAGAGCATTTACCAGGCGTGTCGCACGTTTTGATATGAGACCTGCACTCTATATTTGTCCTAGGTTCGAAACCTGATGGAGAAGTTACATCATTTCACTATAACTCTCCTTCGTGTTTTACTCGTGTGTGTGTGTGTGTGTGTGTGTGTGTGTCTTGGGCACAAAAATTAAAAAAAAAATATATATATATATATATATATATATATATATATATATATATATATGTATATATATATATATATATATATATATATATATATATATATATATATATATATATATATATATATATATATATATAATATGTCTTTTTCGATGATTTTCAGAACTATTCGAGTGCTCATCCAGAGGCGACCCTCACTACAGAACACCAGACGGCACCAAGCTGGACTTCCAGGGCGGATGCTCCTACAACTTGATGAGCACCTGCAACAACTACCCAGAGCTTGGCGTCTTCCCAGCTTTCAGGTGAGCTGCTCGTAGTTTTCAGGTGAGCTGCTCGTAGTTTTCAGGTGAGCTGCTCGTAGTTTTCAGGTGAGCTGCTCGTAGTTTTCAGGTGAGCTGCTCGTAGTTTTCAGGTGAGCTGCTCGTAGTTTTCAGGTGAGCTGCTCCCAGCATTCCGGTGAGCTGCCACTCTATAATTCGTATCTTCCGCCAATTTATCAAGACATGAAACAAATCAGGAACAGAAACTGTAACCTTCCTTGTGTTGAAAAGACTATATCATGAAAAGCTTAAGCGCTACATTGTCTTATACTACACCCAACCAAACAGGAAATAATTCAATCATGCTGGCAGACTTCTTGATTTGTCAGACTTTACTTTAGCTATTTAAAAACATTTGTGACATGTCCTTTGTTTTTACAGCCTCGTCTCCTCCAACATACGAGAGCGCCCAGAGGACAAAGTTACCACCACCAAATCCTTCCAATTTACCGTCCAGGACAAAACATACTTGTTCACTAGAGGCGGATTCGAAGTCAACGGCGTAGGTCTTATGTTATTTAGAGCTAAAGAGCAAATAAACCTGTGCATGCTTCCTTACATGGAGTGTCTGGTCGAGGTCGACTCTAAGAGATTTGCTTCTATATCTTTTGCATTATTGCTCTCTCTCTCTTTCTCTCTTGCTATATATATATATATATATATATATATATATATATATATATATATATATATATATATATATATATAAATTTTTTGCAGCTCAAGCGTAGTGCGGTAGATTATGAAGATGATATCATAAAGATTATGGCTGAGCGAAAAGGCAGTTCCTACCAGCTAACCATTCAAACAGATTTTTGCATGCTTTTGAAGTGGGACAACAAGCACGGACTCTACGTACGTTTGAAATAATAATCAACGATTTTCCTTCCAGTTAGACTTGTACTGTAGTATAATAGGAATGTGTGTTGCTTAAAATGGAACTGTGTGGTCAAACGGTAGAGCTTACGACTGCTAACCCGAAAGTCTCGGGGTTCGGATCCCGGTTCAAGTTCAGGAGTCCACCCTGCTATGATGGGTACTTGACTTAAGTTCGGAAAAAGTAAAGGCGGCTGGTCATAGTGCTGACCACTATATTAAACGCCGAGGTCACAGAAAAACGCGAGCTCTACCTCACTTACTTCATGAACTGTCAGGCTAGAATGAATGTGTAGCTAAATATAATGACATCTTTTAAGTACCGGATGATTTGCTTGCCACAAGTTGTAAAGGTTTTTGACTTGAGTTGCCATTGACTATTTGTACGTCAGAAGTTTAATGAAGTTTTATTAGAGAAATCTAAAAGAAATCCATAAGCTAAGTGGAAAAGCAGTACCACCAAATATGAGGATGGGGTTGAATGAAGATGAAGAGAAGATCCAACGAACAGTCCCATTCAAGATATTATTTCTTTGTTTACACAAATCAACTGTTCTACTTCTACCTAACTAGTCTACACTATATACTATTTACTAATACTACTAACTACGTACTCCCATCATCAGCCCTAACACTATCCACCCCTAACTCTCTACCTAACTCAACATTTCTCTGACCGTCTGCGCTGAACTAACTACTAACCCACGCTTCAGTGGTTAGCTGACCGTCCCCCATGATCGGTCAGCTCCTGGATTTCCATTGGTCTGTTTAACTAAGCTATAGTCTGTTTCTATCATCTACCCTGAACTAGCGTCATCACAATAAGTTACTTGCTGATTGAATAGAATGTTTACCTTCACACTGCTAGATCTATGCCCACGACTCTCAGTTTAACCCTTCATGCTCTCAAAATCTCATGTGGGTCTATGTCCACACCTGACTCCATGATGTTTTGTCAATCTCTCTTAAGCCTATCTTAACACTTTAACCCTTGATGATCTATAACTCTCCCTTTAGGCCTACGTCCCAGAGGTCTATAAGACATACCTCTGCGGTATTTGCGGCAACTTTGACGACAATCCCAAAAACGACTTGACCATCCCAGGCTCCAACAAAGCGGTCACAGCTGACGTGTTGGGCAGGTTCCATATGGTCGGAGGCGTGGCTGGAGAAGGGTACGAAAACATCAGAACTTCTTTCCTAATGCTATTGTTAAGTTTATGCCTCTTTTGTCTCGTTTTGACAATGAAATACTTTTTGCATGGTGACTTCATTTTAAATTTGCGTGGTTTCTGTCTAAATCCAATCCTGTATAGTTTTTTCAAAGCCGAAAATATGTATCAGACAAACTCTACTTCATGAGTTGAACATGTTTGTGGATAACTCTACTTATCCCAAACCTCGGGCAAGACATATCAAACACTTTTTCTCTAACCCAAAACTTTAAATATAAACCTCAATTAACTAGTACTAGTTGTTAAATAAAACCTTGTTATCCTTGATTCAATAAGAACGCACCCTTTCCTTTAGACAAAGTAGACAATGATCAACAGAAGCTATAATGTCTCTATTTTATCACTAACATCAGTTTGTTGTTCCACATGCTGTTATGATTTTGGTCGACAGTTGCACCGACACGACCAGAGTACCCGAGCCCTGCTCTGCTGAAGACAAGGCCAAATACTCTGGGAATGAATACTGTGGCATCTTCAAGAGTTCCAACAGCGCTTCACCCCTTGTCAAAGCTGTGGTGAGTGGGTTGAAAATTTCGTGTTCATCTCGTCGGTTTAGGCTAGTGTGTTTGACAAGGTCCGTGTTTACTTTTACAAGCTTTAGCCTGGGCCACGGCGCCTGCCTGTGGGTTTAAGTTAAAAACTCGTGTTACGATCCACTTCTAGTGCAGCAATCTCATAGACACATCGAAATATATTCATGTGACAAAGCAAGAATATCTAGTTTTCAATCTGATTAGATATTAAATTAGTCTTTAAAAATTAATTTAAGGGATACTATATTGAATTATCAAAGGGAAATAATGAGATTAAGAAGTAGCTTTTCTCAAAAAGCATTTTTAACTACCGTTCACGTAAGTGTATAAACCGACAACAGATTCTAATAACGGGTAGATAATTGACGTTTAAAGGGACGGCGTGGTCGGGCGGAAGAACGCATAATTGATTTCTAGAGTTTGGATCACAGGGAAAATGAGGCTCGATAGCCTAAGAGAGCAACCTATCTAGGAGAGAAAGCTCCAAAATCAAACAAATGCTGCCTTGCAGATTGCATTGGGTGGAAGAGGAAGCAAATCCAGAAGGAAAAACTTGATCAAATCCAAGTCAATATTGTGTATACCATGTTGACATGTAGCACATACTTAAATTGTGTTAGATGAAATCAACTTCCGTATTACAATTAAGAACGAAAAGGAATAAATCGACGTTTAGAATATCTGATTGCGTTTTGAATAAAATATTTTTAGTCATGTTGGAGATCAAGAAAGTTAAAAAGAACGGAGTTGAAATAATAAACATTGTTCGAATTGTTTTAAAATTTAAATAGCTAATTTCTCTTATATTTTTACATATCTAAATACTAAAAAGTAGTATTAAAAATTAAAATAAGTTAAGCAACATTTATGATAAGCTTTTTTAAATGTATAAAAAATCTAATAAAAATGCATTGTCTTTTATTATTATTGTACAAATTTAATAAAATCATTGTTTAATAATTGTATTTAAAATATTTTTGGAACAACCAATGCTTCTATTTTTTACTAATGTAGCCAAGAAAAATGACTTTTCAAAAATTATTGTTTCATTTAAGAGCATTATGTTATAAAGGACTTTTCATGCTGGTTTTGAAAAGTAGTCTGCTTTCTTTTTCTTAACCTAACAGACAAGCGGATCTGTCGACACCTTCCGCATGGCCAACTTGAATAAACTAGACGAGTACTTCGATGATTGTGTCATGGACCAGTGCAGCAGATCCGAATTCACCAAGGAAGACAGTTGTCTGGCCCTAGAGTCCAGTGTTCAAGAGCTGATCCAGCAGCTGAACATTGACGATGAGGATCTCGACGATAAAGCTAGAAGCTTCGCAAACTGCCGTAAGGGATCGGTGTTACATACTTTACAAGCGGTTTAGCTTCAGACAGTGGCGTCACAAGGCTGGGCTGTGTGGGTGCGGGCCGCACTTGGTGACACCATAAGGGGGTGACACCACAATGAAAAACAATGTTTTATCTAGTTCAAATAACAAAAGAGTAGAGGAGAGTGTCGGCACCAAACCGAAAAATTATATATTGTTGGAATGAGGGTAGGGTGACACCCTCAGTTACCGCACCGGGTGACACCCGACCTGGTGGCGCCACTGGTTACAGATATATGCCCCGTCTCTGTATAAATAGGCCTACACTTAACATAACTATAGTTAAAAACGTCGTTCTTGGTTGTTTTTTTTTTTTTTTTTTTTTTAAATAAACGGTAAAATGCATCCTTATTTAAAATAAGCTTAGTCGAATTTTAGACTTTCTGATATAAAGCCCAACTTCAAAATGCAGCTTGCATTGTTAATTCCAGTGAATAAGCGTCATAGTAATCACAGTTACACACGTTTACGTAGAGTTGTAGTTGGGGGGGGGGGGATGTTTGAGGCGGCATCTGCGGGCGACGACCGTAGGTGACGCCAAAACTGGAAGAAGAAAAAAAGCACATTCTTAGCTACAATACAGAATTATACACCGTCAAAGTTAAGATTACTGCTTTGCGTTCTTGACTAGTCTGTCTGTTTTCTACATCAACTAAATGACATAAAGAAAACTATTGTGGAACATTGACAAGTAAAAGGCGGCCCAACCTTTTTCAAATGGGGGGGAGGAGTGCTTGTTCGCCACCGTGAATAACTATATTTAAATGGGGGGGGGGGGCGCAAAACTGATAGTTCGCCGAGGGCGCTTAACTGTTACGTCCTCCTGCTGCTAACACATCACCACCTCGCTGTTTCATCTCACCAGCCAACAACTGCGGCCGCAACATGGTGTACAAGAAGTCCTACCGCCCCCAGTGTCAGGATAGCTGCAAGGAACCACAGAAATCACTCACCTGTGACGATCTGAACACAGTTTCCGGGTGCGCATGTCAAGACGGGTTCTTGCTGGACGCTGACCAAAACTGTGTACCTGCCGACGATTGCGACGATACCTGCACTGTCCAAACCGGCAACTCCGCCTTCACGCTCAATGTAAGTATCGTTTTATAATGCTAAGACCTAATTAAACTATTAGGCTTTTAAAGATTAATAATCATATTTCTTTTTCTTATTTTGCTAAAATAATATTATTAAAATAAATCCTACGTATATAGTTAAGTCTAGCACGTTTGTAAGGATTGCAAGTTTCAGTAAGTTTTATTTTACTTACTCGACTACTGAGTAATAGTGCTGAATAGTTAACATACATTTTGACAGTTTTTGTCGTTTTACACCTCACCGCTATATGGTATAAACGATGCAAGCAATCTAACTCGAGATTTTGACAAATTTTAATGTTTTACATACTTTCGGATTCCAATTTCTCAAAATAAATCACTTTTACCGGACAAATTTCTTTCAAACTTTTAACGTAGGTGAAGATTTGATCAGTAGCGTAGCGAGGGGGGGGGGGGGGGCGGAAGGGACATATGTCCCCGGGCGCCGACCTTAGGGGGCGCCAAAATGGGTTGGAAAAATAAATTGAAAGGTTGAGGGGGGTGCAAATCGAAAGTTTGAGGGGGGGGGGTGCTAATCGAAATCTCGAGGGGGGGGGGGGGGGTGCAAATCGAAAAGTTTGTTCCCGGGCGCCGGGAAGGGTCGCTACGCCTCTGGATTTGATGACAATACACTGTGATATAAAATGTGATTTAATTAGATGGTTACTAAACTTTTAAAAATTAATCAATGTTATCTTTTTAAAGTATTAATTCTCCGCTCTATTATACACACACTGGTTACGTTCACTTGGTACGCAATTCTTTCTCCTCGTATGTCTATTCTGTTTTTGTTTTTTTTAAATTAATTTTTTTAAAAATTAAAAAAAGAAACAGTTCTATTGCACTATTGCACTGGAAGTACCTTCTCTTTACTATTAAATAAGTATATATCACAGCCACTTTATTATATGGTATTAATATGGATGCATTATCACTTTGAGGGCTACTTTAAGCGGTAAGGGGGGGGGAGGGACTGGTAGTCAACTTTCTTGAAAAAAATTCAATTTTTTTCATCTAAAATCATATTTGTTTAACTTTTTTTGTGATTTTAATAACCTAGGTGGGCTTTGCATCAAACGTTTTTTTGTGTGTAAACGTTGTAAGCTGCCATTTTCCCCATAAATATTATCGGAAAAGTAATTATTTATGAGGGTTAATCATTATGTTGCTAATACATACATTTATATGATAAAATATTTAGTACAATAAAGCCTCATTTTGAGTTTTCTTTGTTTCACCAAATTCAAGGTATAGAACTGCCCCCCCCTCCCCCCCCCCCTCCCTCAAAGAGAGGCCTGAAAGAAACACTATCATAAAAACAACTTCACAAATGATTTTTTTCCATTTAGTAACAGGAAAAAATCAAATTATAATTTTAGTATTTCATGCAGTGTTTTGCTTACAATTTCGGAGGGGTGGATCACTCCAAGTAAGACATTGGAATATCTTGTCCTCAGGATGGTCAAAGCTCTTTTGTTGAAGCCTGTAGCAAGCTAGTCACATGCCAGAAAGGAACAATCAACGAAACCAACCTTGGACCTTGCTCAGAGAACGCTGACTGCGTCGGTGGCACAAAATGCGTGTGCAAAGCAGGCTTCAAAGGAAACGGCAGAGAATGTAAGTCAGAGTGTAGTTTTTAATTAACCGCAAGGTAACTGTTAATGTATTGTTAAAAACTTTTAACAGTAATAAAATATCAAGATTGCTAAACACAGCAAATTTTTCCTCTCATATGTTCCCATTGAATACCCAACAGGTCTTGTAACAAAACATTTTAGTTATAATGAATCATGTACACAAATCTACTTGCTGGCCCCTTTTACTTGAAAAATCTACTATGGTTACTTTTACTTTGTTAAAAATAAACCCATTACTTTACATTTTGGGTGAAAATTGAAATTTTTAGTCATCACAGAATGTAGGCTATATTTAAAACAACAATACTGACTCTACGCTATTGTTAAAACAACATCAATGACTATAGGCTATTGTTAAATCAACATCACTGACTCTAGGCTATTGTTAAAACAACATAAGTGACTCTAGACAATTGTTAAAACAACATAAGTGACTCTAGACAATTGTTAAAACAACATAAGTGACTCTAGGCTATTGTTAAAACAAAATCATTGACTCTATTTTCTTGTTGACACAGGCTTCGCTGACTTGGCTTGCAAGCCCGGCTTCTACCCAGCTGGCACCAAGTGCTACCAGGTCAGGTTCGATAACTTGGACTGGCACAGTGCCGCTTTGGTGTGTGGCTCACAAGGGGCTCAGTTAGCCAGGTGGGTAATCTAAAACGTTCGAATGATTGAAGCATAAAGCTGTGTCTAAATTGTGCTGTCACAATCTTCTTCAGTTACATCGCGTCATCTGCAATTTACAACATGTTCTTGTCGCTTCCCAGAGTGTTGTAGTTTTTTTTTTGCCATAAGTAAGAGATAAAGTTCTATGCAAATCATGCAGCGTTTGTTCCAGTAAATTGTAGGGCACTGCACCGGAGTGACTAAAAACCAACGACTTTATCTGCAAGACCTCGAGCTTAGGCTGCAAACAGTTGCTAAGCTCACCCTGGTAGTCGTAGGACGGAGTGGTCGATTGGTAGAGCGTTTGACTGCAAACCCTTTAGTCGAGACTATAGGTACCTGACTCATGTTAGTAAATGCAGAGTCGGCTGGGCATAGTGCTGACCACATTACCCCTTTATATGCCGAGGTCGCAGAAACAGCTAACTATACCTGCCTCATAGTTTATTTCTGGACCAGTACAAACGTAACAAACACAAAATATGTTTCGACCTAGCCTCTTCGTTAGTCTTGACAAAGAAACTCATCCTAACTTCTCTGACCTTGTCGTCTTTTTCATAATATTCCAGGGAATTCTAAGGTTCGAAATGTTTGGGTATTTTTAGTACTATGTGCAATAACTGGTTTTATTGCTCCATTATATAAATACAAATATATATATATATACACATATATATATATATATATATATATATACATATATATATATATATACATATATATATATATATATATATATATATATATATATATATATATATATATATATATATAGTCAAAATAAACTAGCTTACTTTTAATTACAAAAGAATCGACAATGAGGCTGATTCAGGTCTAGAGCAAGTATTGAGAAGTGTCTCGGATTACAAAATACTCGCAATGGGTAATTTTTTTTCAAATCCTACATCAATTTAGATATATATATATATATATATATATATATATATATATATATATATATATATATATATATATATGTTTATTTAGGAATATACAATACATTTATAGTTATAGATTTAAACGTAGATATTTGAAGAATAAAAAAACAAATTTCAAACAGTTAACGAATGTGATTCTTTAAGCTGGAAGCTGGATGGAGTAGTATGATTCGTAACGACCCTATGGTCTGAAACTACATTTAAAAATTCATTTCTCGGGTTACTTTAAACTTGTGCCTTTTTGTGCTGTTGGAATGCAAATTTCTTTACACAGTGAGCAGATTTAAACCCGGATATAGCATGTTTGTATCATACTTTTAAAGTAATGTTATTAAAGTTGCGGGAGCCCTGTTGTAGTCGATTGAATCTGCTTTATGTATCGATGATTACTTCTTGCAGTTTATGTTGGAGTAGATAATTAAATTTTTAAAACGCCTATATCAAAACCATTAGCAAAAAAAATACTCAACACACACGGATACAACTCCAAAAATTGTAACTTGTTCTAGTTTTTAAAATATTACACGTGCACTTTTATATCCTCAGCTACCTCGAAAGTTATCAATTGCGGCGTTCGCAGTACATGCAAAGCGCCAAAGAATGAAATTCTGCTCAGCATTAGAGCAAAGGACAGCAAATTCAGTAAATCCTGCGAGGGCAAGTTGGTCATCTCAGGCGACAGAAGCAAAGTGACCAGCAACTGTGCGGCTAAATCATTCATCATAGAGACTGTTGACTGTAAGAATATTTTATTGTCAGTTGGAGTGTTGAGATTATTTAGAAACCATCCATGACATAGGCCTATAATTACATCAAAATCCTTACCTGGAAACATATCTCCCAGCCCCACTTATTTCGTTTATCTTCAAATGGGTTAATATAATAAGCTCTTTAAATCTGTCCTAATGGGTCTACAACCGCTAGAAAATATATTTTATATATTATTTAAATTGGCACCATACATCTGAATTATTATTTTGTAATTTTCTGAAACGGATGTAACTTTAATATTGATTATTTTTCTCTTTCTTAGCTAAAGTCTATAACTCAAAAGAAAGTTCCTGTAAGTATGTTTCTCTCTCCAATAAATATCTGCATTCTAGAGGGGGTTATCTAGAAAACTTATTTTAACACGTTTTTCTTAACTCAGCTTCGCGTTTGTGGATTTGTTTGTTTGTTGTTAAAATTGTTAACACGTTTTTCTTAACTCAGCTTCGTGTTTGTGGATTTGTTTGTTTGTTGTTAAAATTGACATCGAAAATTAGCCCACTTCTGATTGCTCTAGAGCTCTGAAATTTGGCAGGCAGGCTACTTTCGCCTAACAATTTCAGATGCAATCATAAAAACTAGCAATTAGAGACCGTAATTAGCTTAATTTAATTACGCCCGAAGGACCATAAAACTCAGGACATGATTTCTAAAGATACCGACAAGACTGGAGGCCTATCGACACATTTACTTCGGCCCCAATCGATGTGAGCGCGCTGGCCGTGATCGCATAGTAGTTAGTACTTCGCGTTGTGGCCGCGACAACCCAGGTTCGAATCCTGGTCGCTCAAGATTTTTTTTTAGTCCGTGTATTTATAAACACTTAGTCAAGTCATACTTAATCAAGTCATTAGATGAAGTAGAAAATAAACTATATAAAAAACTTTTTTAAAAACCACGTTTTTTATGTGTAGCAACGGACTAAAAAGGAGAAAATAAAATACTTAAAAAAACTTTTTAAAAAACCACGTTTTTCTTGTGGACTAAAAAGTAGAAAATAACTATTTACATACATTTGATGACAAAAAACGTGGGTCGGGCAGATGGGTCGGGAAATTTGATGGTGAACGTACCCACGTTTTTTGTCATCAAATGTATGTAAATAGTTATTTTCTACTTTTTAGTCCACAAGAAAAACGTGGTTTTTTTAAAAGTTTTTTTAAGTATTTTATTTAATATTATTTTTACGTAAAATATGATTGTGAGGGCGTCTGAATCTCAAAGAAAGCACTACACGATTTAGGCTATTACAGTATTCTTTATTTCTCTATCTCCCGTCCTCCAGTCCCAACCTCAACCTCCTTGCTTCCACACTCAACCTTCAACTGTCCTCCGCATTCATCCCTCCCTACACACCACCTTTCTCTCGCTCACAACACAGCCGCTGTCACCCGACCAGTCGCTTCCCTTGTACCCTCGTTCACTCCGTACAACATACACGATTTAGGCTATTACAGTATTCTTTATTTCTCTATCTCCCGTCCTCCAGTCCCAACCTCAACCTCCTTGCTTCCACACTCAACCTTCAACTGTCCTCCGCATTCATCCCTCCCTACACACCACCTTTCTCTCGCTCACAACACAGCCGCTGTCACCCGACCAGTCGCTTCCCTTGTACCCTCGTTCACTCCGTACAACATACACGTCAATACACCCGGCCTCGCGTCTCACTACATGATACATACACACACGCAGTGACCCGTTCCACGTATTCACCTTTCATACACATTACATCACCACAATGATTATACCGCGAAATTAGATTTGAGCTATTACAAAAGAGGGAGGCGGCGACATTATAGTTCTGATGAAGAATTAATTTGATACGAGCCGGCCCGCGGCATAACATACGCCGCTATTTAGTTGTTGTTTTTTCTACTTTTCAGTAATTCATAATTTTTGAATTCGACAGTACCAACGCTGACACTGAAAATACTTCTTTAAAACACTATAAGTAGCTCGTTAAGGACCATAACCCCCCCCCCCCCCTTCCTTGCAGCTTGTTTTCTAACGGCTCCCAGAAGAGAATTATTATATAGATAGATTCTAATTTAATTGTCATGCGTTAATTATTATTAAATAGCCACATTATTTGACTAAAACATTCTAACAATTTCTTATTATAACAATGTTTTAGTTATATCAAAAGGCACAATCTTTGCAAATTTAAACGTTTCTGGACACTTTAAAAAAAAACCTACCATTTAGATCTATATTCATTGTGTCATTTGTTGAAACAAATGGCTTATTAACTGAATGAGCCTAGTCGTTTATTTAACAACTAACAGGCTTAAAGTTAAAAAATATATTTTCATCAAAAAAAAAATAAAAAAAATTTAATTTTTCCAATTTTGCTGTCATTCTTCTTGGCTTGTTCTGTGTTTAGTATTTCTGTTGTTGTTCCCCTTTGCTAGTTACAAACGGACGAGTTGTGCATTATTAACGTATTGTAGCCTATGATGGAAGAGTAGTGTAAAAGGTGGCGAAATATTTGCATAGACGTAACCATTTAAAAGCATAGTTGCTTTGTATGTTATAAAGAGAGCCTTTATATTTCAGTCGCCTAAAAATCTGACTACGACTACTACGAGGAAACATTTTTTAAGGGTTAAAGAAACTTTGAATGTAGGCTCTTAAATCTTCTAACACTTGATTGTTTTTAAGTAACTCTAACTGCGTGGCCTTTTGAACCACACCCTTTGAACCCAAGTATCAACTTGTGAATAACAAACACGCATGGAGTTACAAGAGATGGGGGGGGGGGGGGGGCGCCGGGTGACACCAGACCTAGTGATTCTACTGCTACTACGGTATACAACCCGTCATTTTAAAAGATAAAAAAAGTAAGGATAGAATTTCAAAATCATATTTTAAAAAAACTGTTTTCAGCTTTGTGGATCGGTGGCAACCTGGACGTCATTGGACCAAACGCCCGGCTGACCAAATCTCCATACCAGGTGGACGCACCTCGACAGATTGACATGACCCAGTTTCAGAGGTCTTCAGGGTGCTTCCAGGCCGTCGTCGATAAACTGAACAACGTAGCCGTGTTTCCTAATCCAGACTGCAAAACACGTCAAGGATTTATTTGTGATTATGGTAGGTCATCTGTACACCTATATACTTCTTTCTCATATTTACACAGTGTGTTGCTTTTAAACTTATATTTAATTAGCCTAAATTTTAAGCGTAAAAACAAACATATTGTAACAGACTGTAACAATGTATGTAAATTGTAAGCTTTAGGCCTAAAGATCTAGGCCTAGATTCTATATATTATATATTAATTTATATTGAAGCTATGTTATTATCTACCAATGACATTAAAATACATTCCTGTATGAGATGCACTTTTCTAGCTATTTAATTAAGAAAATATGACACTGTAACATTTTTAAGAGTAGGGCTTATATTTTACCAGGAAAATTAGCAGTTATTTCTCTTTGGCTTAGCCTATTTGTAAATTGAAATAAAAAATAAAAAATTGACCAATTGTCCAAATTTTGATCTGAATTGTGGTTTAGGCCTTTTTAGAAAAGGATAGCAATTTTATTTTATAAATAATATAAAGAACTTGATTTAGCAAAAAAGAAAAAATCTCAATTTTGTATAGGGCCTAGTCAGTAGCGTAGCGAGGGGGAGGGGAAGGGTCGCTACGCCTCTGGGCCTAGTAAAAAAGGATGTAGTAGGACGTTATTTTAGTTATAGAGAAGGGCATCTGGTGGGCTTGTAGTGCACATATGGGCAATGTCCACTTTTCCTCTCTTCTTTCAATGACATGTTAATATAGGCTTACATTTATAATTTGATCCTGCTAGATTTCAGATGAAGAAAAAATGCAATATAAAATATATCTTCTAATTTTGAGAACAATTTAATTTTTTTTTTAATAAATAACTTTTACTTTCAGATAATACCAAAAGTAACAGTTACGGTAAGTAAATCAGATTTTTTTGTTTTATTACAAATATTCATAATATGGTGTAAATAGTCTATTACTAGTAGTACTAATAGTCAATAGACTTTGTATTTACTTAGTATTTAGTATTGTGTATAATAATATAATATTATGTAGAAATATGTAGGCCTAGATCTATTATTTTAAGATACTTGTACCATTGTACCTCCCAACTAAACATTCAAAACATGTTGGTGAAAAAGACCCAAGAGTAGTGCTATCAATTAGACTCTTTTATTATACATAAATCTCATAGCATAATCAAAAATGGTAAAAATATTTTTACATTTTAAAAACACATTAAAATTTAAATAAACTCAGACAACTAACAAAATCTAACAAAATTGACTTTGGTTTTTTTTTTTAGTTTTTTTTAAGTGACAATAACTTCATAAAAATTCCTTACTTTTCCATTCTGCACAAAGAAAAACATGTGCTTTTGAAATAACTAATTAAAACAATTCATCAACAGCTAATATTAAATAATAATTATTTAACTTTAAAAAAATATATACTCTCAGATCCAAACGATTTCAAATTCATCAAGGATGTCTCCAACCAACAAGGTGCTTTGGACAAGTGTAAAAATTTGGGCAGGACACTGGCTGTATTTGACAGCATTGGTCAGCTGAACAAAGCCTTGTCCCTCATCACGTAATTTTTTACTTATTTCAGAACATTGATGCAAATAAACTTGAAAAAAAACCAATCTAGTACAGATAACAAAACTGTATATTAAATATGTTTTGGTTACAGATACAGAAATATTTTTTGTAACAGAAGAATAAACTTTTAAAAAAATAAACTTTTAGAAGGCTACAGATTACAGAATCAAATGCTGTTGTATTTAAGACTATTTTTCTCTTTATCAGGGCTAATGTATACGTCTACATGTCATATGATAAACAACTGGGAGACTTCAGATGGGGTAATGGCATTGCTCTGAGTAACGGATTTGGAAATTTTGATGGGAAACCTGATGTAAATAAATACTTTTATAACTTTTTGGATGACTATATATAATGATGATGAATTAATTCAATTATTTCTTTTTATATTACTAATTTTTTCACCTAACTTGTTTCAATTTGTGCAGCCTAATCCTAAGGGAAAAGAACAAAACTGTGTTATACTTAATAAGGGTACAGGCAAACTACAAACTCAAAGCTGTGCCACTAAATCAGCTGCACTCTGTGGACCAATCAGTGAGTTCATTTACATGTGGTATATTTTGCTCACTAGCTCTATGTGCACGTTGTTGTTCTTTGTAATTTTTTGGCTAACTCCTTAAATGCTGGCTGTAACTTATATTTTTCTATTAGTTTTACCCAATAGATTTGTATATTTGCAGCTACCTCAGTACCCACTGGCTACACCCCATACTTCCCTACTGATTTTAAACTTTACTTGCAGCTACCTCAGTACCTGCTGGCTACACCCCATACTTCCCTTCTGATTTTAAACTTGTATACTTGCAGCTAACTCAGTACCCGCTGGCTACACCCCATACTTCCCTTCTGATTTTAAACTTGTATACTTGCAGCTACTTCAGTACCCGCTGGCTACACCCCATACTTCCCTACTGATTTTAAACTTGTATACTTGCAGCTAACTCAGTACCCGCTGGCTACACCCCATACTTCCCTACTGATTTTAAACTTGTATACTTGCAGCTACTTCAGTACCCGCTGGCTACACCCCATACTTCCCTACTGATTTTAAACTTGTATACTTGCAGCTAACTCAGTACCCGCTGGCTACACCCCATACTTCCCTTCTGATTTTAAACTTGTATACTTGCAGCTAACTCAGTACCCGCTGGCTACACCCCATACTTCCCTACTGATTTTAAACTTGTATACTTGCAGCTACTTCAGTACCCGCTGGCTACACCCCATACTTCCCTACTGATTTTAAACTTGTATACTTGCAGCTAACTCAGTACCCGCTGGCTACACCCCATACTTCCCTTCTGATTTTAAACTTGTATACTTGCAGCTAACTCAGTACCCGCTGGCTACACCCCATACTTCCCTACTGATTTTAAACTTGTATACTTGCAGCTACTTCAGTACCCGCTGGCTACACCCCATACTTCCCTACTGATTTTAAACTTGTATACTTGCAGCTACTTCAGTACCCGCTGGCTACACCCCATACTTCCCTACTGATTTTAAACTTGTATACTTGCAGCTACTTCAGTACCTGCTGGCTACACCCCATACTTCCCAGCCACCACTGTCCAGTCTGTAACTGAGCTCAAGCAGCAACTCATGAGGGATGGACAGCCGGTAGAGTGCACTTTTTTATTTATCCTGTTCTAAAAAAATGTATGTAAATTGCCAAGACTTGCCTCATTTTATTGATAACCAATACTGGAGCAGGATTGTTCTATTGTGATGATGTGCTAATGGAGACAGTTTTTAATAATTTGGAAAAAGTAGATTTATATAGTTTGTATTTTTTTTTAAAGAAAAAAAAAATGTTATTATAATTGTTGTTATATGGTAGGGAGGATGTCATTGGAGGCTTGCCTTTAATGACAATATGGGAAGTGATGGTACAAATCAGTTAAATCACGTAACCTCATTTACAGAATACCCCTTACTATTTAAATTTACTGAAAAACTTTCAGATCTAGGTCTTGAAACCTAAATGTATTATTACTATTTTTTCTTATGTTCAACACATAAATCTATGTTCTGTACCCTAGAAATGAAAACAAAATGTATTCGTTGTAGGCATTTTTGAGATTTCCTATTATTCAGCAAAACATTTTGTTATAAGAATTTTCTAAGTGAATACTTTTCATCAACTATTTTTAACTTTGTAAGAACTCTATTTTTTTAAGTTAAAACACTTTCAATACAAAGTTTCAATTATTTCAATTATTTTGTAAATATTCATATATTTTTTTTGTTATTTGAATTACCAAAAATTAAAAGAAAAATATTGTGAATTATATTCAACCTCATCTTTAAAATTAAATAGGACCAGCTCTGTGCAAGTCCATTGGACATAGAGTGCAGTGCCTTATCAAATGAAGGCCGATGGGTAACCAACTTTGACCAACAGGGCACCACCATAGCATGCAAGCCAGAATCATTCTCCTGCCTCAGTGGACAAGAACTTGATTGTAAAACATTCCGTGTTCGCATCTTGTGCCCTCAAAGTAAGTTTTAATGTTTTTATTACTTCTTTCCTTTTAAACTTTATATATATATATATATATATATATATATGTATATATATATATATATATATATATATATATATATATATATATTTTTTTTTTTTTTTTTTTTTTTTTTTTTTAATAAAGTTTATGTATATGGAGATAAAGAACATGCATATGGATTCAAATTTTTAAAAGTATGTTTGAATGTCATAAAAAAATATGTGCATGATCCATCAAAATACTTCTTTGTACATTTGCGTTTTAAATTTAGTTTTAAAATTAAAATGACAGTTGATGGTTGACTTTTGTTTAAATTAGTGCTCCTAATACACATGTCACCTATCAATGGTTTTCTCATTTTATGTTCACACCTTCAGCTGACAACCAATGTACAGAGCTGCCCAAATCAAAGGCCACACCTTGTGATGGTGGTAAAATTTGCATCCCAGCACCCAATCACTACATCTGTCAGTGTCCACTTGGCACACAACTCCTTGCAAAGACGCAGACATGTTCAGGCAAGCTCTTAATTCATTTTTTTTTAAAATTGCAAAATAATTTTTTTAGAAACTAAATGCGAAGTCTACAATCTATTGTTTACTTTTTAGATATAATATAGTTAGATAACTAGATATCTTTAAATAAAATATCTATAACATCCAGTAGCATAATCATGTTAGAGGACAGTCTTAATCTAGCAACAGAAAAGGGATTTAAAAGTGATGGATTCTGAAAAAAAAAAAAAAAAATTTCTACATTGTTTTAATTTTTAAAACTTATTTTCCAATTCAAATACAATAACAATTTTAAAAGATAAATTTCTGTTGTTCTTGTATGTTTATAATCTGACTTCAGCTTAAACTTAATAAAAATGCTTGCACCTACTATAAAGTTAATGTCATCATGTAGATATTGATGTCTTCAGGTTATTGTGGGGAGTGCTCAGCTTGGGGTGACCCTCACTACACCACCTACTCAGGTGACAAGTACAACAACATGGGGCTGTGCACGTAAGTGTTCTCACAGCTGTTCAATAATTGCCTGGCTACATTGTTCTACATTTTATTTATTCCATAAATTACATGAACACTTACATTGTCGACTTGAACATCTGCTTTAATGTAAGAGTTTTCTAGGGATGTTATTAAAGCTATTATGGGGCGGCATGGCCAGATGGTAGAGCTCTTGACTGCTAACCCAAAAGTCTTGGGTTTGGATCCTGGACTTGAGTATGTATGTTGCCCATGTGTACATTCAGCTTAAATGCTACCTGACTCATGTTGAGGAAAGGCAGCTGAGCATAGAACTGACTCTACTATTCCTTAATATGGCAAGGTCACAATGATGACTGATGACTAACAGCTCCAGTATCTTTTTCTTTATTCTAAAGACGTTACATACACATTAAAATTGAAAAAAAAAATCCTAGTTTTCTATCATTTGATATTTAAAATGCGAGCAGATAATATACAATTTATTTCACTTATCATAATTTCTTAATTATACTCGAAGACCTAATTTATCTCTACAATTTAACAATTTTCTCTCTTTTAGCTATGAGTTAGAAATTAAAGTATTGTAAAAAAAACTATTCGGCTCTGTAAGATCCACTGAGGACTTAGTTCATGTAAATTAAAAAAAAAGACTTTTAGCTAACATTGGATGGCAAACTCTAGAGTAAATAAAAGTAGTCTCCACACCCCCCACCCTTTCTACACACACATACACACCGATATATATATATATATATTTTTATATATATATATATATATATATATATATATATATATGGGTGTGTGTGTGTGTGTATATATATATATATATATATATATATATATATATATATACAAACGCACACAGTGTCCATCAAGCTGTGTGTTACATGGGCTGCTAACCATTCCATCAAAAATCACATACACAAGAACAGAGACCTGTTTTTGTGTTAAAATATTGTCCAAAATAAACTGATCCCCATCTTTTTTTTTATTTAGTAAATTTTAAATTTTCCAACCTGGATTGATTCATTTATTTTCAAAACAATTTATTGTTTTAGTGTTCAAAACTTGATTTATTAGTTTATTTTCAAAACTTGCAATATTTGTTTATTTTTTAAAACTTTTCTTAGAACACAATTCACTGGCACCTGTCCTTTTGATGAAGAAGGGTCATCAGTCTCCTACCAGGTCCTGACTAAAAACAAAGCCTGTGGTAAACCAGGTGCATCTTGCATCAACAAACTGAGGATCAGGGTTAAAAACCTTTCAGTGCCTGGCATTAATGGAGTCCAACTTAAAGAGAACCTTGATTTTGTCGTGTTTGTGGGGGCCAAAACCTATACAGTAAGTCATGAAAAAAATTGTTTTTAATGGGTGCACAAAAGTTTGCATTGTTTTTATTTTTTTTATTTTTAAGGCTATATAGTTGAAGCTTACACCTAACAATACAAAATAGCTGTATGAGACTATCCATTACGCCTGCATAGCTAATCATTCCTCTATTTTCCTTCATCTCATGTTCAGCAACATATTTAATGCAGCTGTCTGTTGCAATGCACACATGGCATGTTTAAGTTAACTGTTTGATGAAATGGGCACTTTCTGATGTCTTCTTTGGAATGAAAGATGTGTTGATGCGAAACCAGACAAAATTGCAGAAATATGGCTGATCCGGGGGCGGAACTACAGTGCGGGGTCTGGCTGGGAGGGGGAGGGGGGCCCACGCCGATTAGGAGGCCCACAGCCGACCATAATCAATTTTTTTTATAGTTAAAAAATTTAATTTTCTTGCTGTTTTTGACTTGATGGTTGTTTTGTAAAAAAAAAATACTGTAGCTGCGATTGGATTATCTTTTTTTTATAGACACCATCCCATACTCAGGCCAATTAAAAAAAAATAGGTTTTATGACTGTCATAAACAAACTAGTTATTTTATCAAAAACAAAGGGATTTTCATTAGTTAAAAAAAAGATTTTAAATTATTTTATTTTGGGAGTAAATAAAATTCCTAGAAAATGTTGTATAATAGGAGGTGTGTTAATCTATAGTAATTTAATATACTGTTATATGGAGAAGGGGTAGATTAAATAAAAAATTTTACTCACTGCAACATCCCTGTGGATTAGAAATAAATATCACTTACAATGACACTTTTTTTTAAGAACAAAAATTTTAAGCCTGGTGCTTTTCTAATGTATAATCAATTTTTTTTATAAAGCTAGTTTCTTTTTCTTTTTTTGAGGTTTTTTTGCATTAAATATGATCATGCATGAAGTTTTCTAATTTTTAAATTTTACATTTTTAAATGTTTAATTATAACTTAAATAATGTTGTTCTTTAAAGTAAATAGGCAGAAATAATGCTATTTTGAAGAGTCTTCCTGTAAGCAAATTTTGATTTTTTTTTTACAGTTATTTATTTTAACACTGATTTAAAACATAATCTAATGGGGAAATTCAATTATAAATTCTGCAGTTAAATGGAAAAACAATTAGCCAGACTGATTTTACTCGAGAAGGAGTTTACACTGCAGTTGTGAGACAGAGTTACTTTGAATTATTTATCCATGAAATCGGCCTGCAAGTTTTCCTTAGTGATACCAAGCTCAAAGTCATGGCCCCAGGTAAGGTTAAGCTTTTATTAGTTAAACTAGCAGCAGTTTGATTTATAGAAGTTAGATTTTGATTCAGTAATAAATAAATAAGGCTTAAGGTAAGCCTATTTAATCATTAAATTGACCTCAAAAATGCTTGACACCACCTAATTGCCTCACAGTATGTTGTTGCTTATGAATTATCCCTACAAAGAGTTCATTGCTTGATATATATATATATATATATATATATATATATATATATATATATATATATATATATATATATATATATATATATATATATATATATATATATATATATATATATATATATATATACTTATTTATATGTGTGTGTATGTGTTTTTCAAGAGCAGCCCATTTTTAATCTTTGCACTATTAGTTATGTAGACAAAAATGTACAAATTTAAATAATTTATGTAACAAATTTTAGTTAATGCTGTTAATAAATTACAACGTTTAATCCCATCTATAAAAAAATTTCATTAAAAAATTTACAAGTTAAGTTAGTCTGCTTAAGTTATGTTGAATTTAGCAGTTGGAATCTTTTTCTTTATCTCTTTCCCTATCTTTCTCTCTCTCTCTTTTTCTCTCTCATATCATTACCCGCTCAAGCTTTTGCTCATCAGCCAGACAGACTAAAACAGGATAAGAATCACACATTTTTCTCACATGTTACCAGCAGCTAGACACGTGGGTTTCCTAATATGGACATGAAGGGTAGTTCAGTCAAGGGAATTACCTACTGTCGTGAGCAGAGGTTCTAGATTCGTGACTTTTGAGTTAGCAAGCTTGCTGCCTCTATTTGATCCCTTGTCCCAATAGCACTGGGGGCCTAATGGCTCAATACATATTTTTGTAGTTCACCTTATTGCTTTGAGATGGTTATTAAAAAAACTTTTTTTCTAGTTTTATAATATAGAGACAAAATTTAACAGGGTAAATCAATAAATTTTATTAAGGAATCATCCATAATTAGTTACCTATTTCATTTAATTTCACTGTATTAATTGGAAAAGTCAGTTCATTCCTATTTACTATAATTTTAATTATAAAAGTGTTTTGACATACTATTCAAGAGACAACTTGCGAGTGGTGGGCTGCAGTTTGAAGGTTTTTGTTTTGGAGGGGGGGGGGGCGGATGAATTATGGTGTGCATTGTGTAAAGGAATTCTTGTGTATGTGATAGTTTGTAGGGGAGTCTCTTTGTGAGAGAGACTTGGTGTTGGTTGTGTGTTTTCCAACAGAAAACTGGGTGTCTTATTTAATGTTAGTAATATTTTATAAACCTTGTGAAATTTAATTTTAGTCTTTACAATGCATATGTAATTGTTTTCCAAAAAATATTGTAAACAGAACAATTCAGACATAAAATGTGCGGATTGTGTGGCGACTGTGGATCAAACTTGTTTAAACTCAGAAATGGAACAGCTGTCTCTGTCCCTGGCAGCAAGGGTAACTGGGATGATAAAGCCATGGCAATCTTTGTTGACGACTGGAAAGTGGCTGATGAGGATGACACAACTGCTGAGTAAGTGAAAGATCTTTCAAAGTTTTCTGACTAAAATAAAAATGCCTTTATGAACTACTATATTTTATTACTATATTTTATGACATCTTACTTCATTGTCGACCTATTGATGTTTAATGCCAAAGATCAATATTTATTTTCTAAAACAACCAATCACAATTATAAAATCTACAGATTTTATCTAAGGTATTTAAATAGGCTTTTTTTCAGACTAATTAAAATTTGATGAATATTTGATTTTTAGTCTAGGCTCCATAATGTTAAAGTAAATAAAAATGTATAGTTGTGATTTTTTTCTTGTTAACTAGATCTAGGGGTCGGCGTGGTCGAGTCGGTAAAAAGCTCATGGTTGCTAAACCGAAAAGTCTCGAGTTCGAACCCTCGGGCAGATGAGGCTCGTTAGCTGGGGACAGCCACTCTTCTAGGAGAGACAACTCCAAAATTAAACAACTGCTGCCTTGTAGTTTGTTCATGGTTGGACAAAGGCTATGGAAGCAAATCCAAAAAGAAAAGCAGGCTGAAATCGGAGTCAATGGCCTCAATGGCGCATAACCAGTTGACACGTAACGCTTAATTGTGTTGGAGGCGTGGTCGAGTCGGCAAAAAGCTCATGGTTGATAAATTCGAACAAAGTCTCGAGTTCAAACCCGCTGGCAGATAAATCTCGATCCCCTTCAACACTGATAATTAAGAACGAAGAAGAAGAAGAAGAAGAAGATCTATATACCTTTTATGAAATCTACTTATATGAAAGAGAAATGTTTCGTAGTATTATGTGGAAAACTGTGCAAACAGAAAAATGCACAAATACATATTAATTAATTTTATACACATAAATTTTGTCAGATTACGTGTAAAAATGTTTTATTATTCTACAAAATTCATGTGGTCATTCTTTATTAATGTCTATAAATAAATGTTCGATTTACAAAAACCAGAATGACCCTGCGCATTTTTTTGTGTGCAGTTTTCCTTTGCTCATCTTTTTTGTCACCAAGAGAAACATACCAGTACATAAAGATAGTATAATCAATTGCCTAAAATTAATATAGCTTTTAATAACTTTTAATTTATGAAGAAAATAAGGTAAATTATATTTGCCTAATGTTAATTTCAAAGGTATATCTGATTTATTTTTAACTTTCAATGGTAGAATGGTTTTGTTTTGTTTGCATTTTTTACTTTTTTGGTGTAATTATTCATTTGATCTCAAATTTGCTTTCCCTATGATAGATGTCAAATCCCTAAAGTTCTTCCAAATGATGGCTGCACTGATGCTAAACGTGCTGAGCTTTCAAAACCTAACCTCTGTGGTGTCTTTAAGGACAAAAGCAGTTCAATCCAAGAATGTTTTGACAAGGTACAAGCATATGTAAATCCTTCCATCCCTGTGACTCTATTTCCAATGTTGGGCTTTAGCCATCTTCTGCTTGTCTCCACTTGATCTATCCATCTGATCCGAGGTCTGACTTTTAGTCGTTTCTCCTTGGGGTTTTGGTTTTACGTCACTTTTACCACACTGTGATTTGACATTTTTCCAGAGGAATTAACCACTGTGACTTTCTTTTTAAATTTCTGCCTTATTGTAGAGAGTATGTATATTTCAAACATGTAAATACCTAATAAAGGAGGCTTATATTTTTACTATTTTACTAAAGTGATTTTTTCACATATAACAGACAAATTTAAATAAGATTTGTTTTGGTTTTACAAGACTGACATGGAACCTGATTCATACTTTGACAACTGTTTGTATGATGCCTGCAACCAAGATGACTCACAAGAGGCTGTATGTACCATGGTCAAAGCCTTTGCTCAGGAGTGTTTGAGTAAAAACATTGTCTTAAACTGGAGAACACCTACATTCTGTCGTGAGTATTTTGCAATAATTTCATGGTAAATCAGAGACAAGAATATGTTGTTAGCATTTTAATAATGATGTTATTTTCATTACTAATTTAGTTTATCTAATTGCCACATTGTGTTTGGTAGTGATGTTTGTTTTCTAGCTGTAATTATAGGGGTTTTTTTGTCTATAGGAATCTTTATAATTAATTTTTAAAATTCATTTTAAGAACGATTTAATTTTATGACTTTGTGTGATACATTTTTTTTTTATAATTACATTTTTAGCACGCGTGTGTGAAAATGGAAAAATCTTTAGGACTGATGTATCGTGTGAGCCCACATGTGGACGATCTGTCGTCTCACAGACAAACTGCAATGAGGCCCGTGAGGAAGGCTGTGCATGTCCAGCTGGCAAAATGAAACAGGGAGAAGATTGTGTAGACCCCAAAGACTGTGGATGCAATGTTCCAATGAAAGATGGCACCATTAACTGGCACCTGCCTGTAAGTCTCAAATATCATCTGTATATTTTTCTGCTCAATGTATCAAATCAAAGTATTTGGTCAGGACAAAAGATAAGTAAACCAGCATTATATAAGCCACATATTTTATTTATTTTATTCATAGCACGTTAAAATACACTCTACATTGCAGGCCTATATCACTATTTTATAATAACTAAACTAGCAATAGCACAATCTGGTCAAAAACTACATACTGTAAAGAAATATTCAAGTCATATAAATTGGATTTGAGTTTCATTAGAATACTAACAACTTTGTTACATGTTAAACAAAACATATGTTCATTTGAATAAATCTTTTAATTTAGCTAAAAAAGATCAATCTTAATAAAATATATTACGCTCCTAAAAAGAATCATCACTTTTTTAACATAAAATGAATGTCCATTAAATAGAAAAAGTCGGTAGCTAAATAAGTAAGATATTCATTTTTGTAGAAAGACATTAAATGGTGGCTAAAAAAATTGATTTATTTGTGTGGTGACTGAAATAATTTTCGACTGATGGATGGGTAGAGACAACAGATTCAATATCAATGAAATTTACTAATTATTTCCCTTTAGCCTGGTGGCTCTGTGCTCATGCCTGAATGTAAAGAGACAGCTGTTTGCTACACTGATGAAAATGGCAGTAGCCAGACTATTTATAGACCATTTAACCTAGACCAGAATGCCATCTGCAATTCCAACATTCCCCCAACTGTTGAGTGTGCCAATGGTTATTCCATGGCCGCAGATGGTGTCACTTGTATAAGTAAGATCAAAATTTTAAAATACATTTTTGCTATGTTAATTTCAAAATATTCAATCAGTACAATTGACTAAAAAAAGTTTTTATTTCATCATGATTAAAATTTTACCAAGACAATAAAGAAATTTTACGACATTAAACTTGGGGACAGATATAGTGTATAAACTACCATAACAAGTTTCTTTTTATTTTAAAATAGTTTAAAATATTTTACTGTTTACATTGAAGTATTATTATGTCTGTGCATTCTCAATTCTTGCAACTTTTTTTAAAATAAAAAAAGGAGATCCAAAGACATGTTCAAGATCCTATGAAAATATAAATGGACTCTGTGTCAAAGTCCCAAGTGAGACTAATGAATGGAGACTTGCACTGAAGGCCTGTAACAGGGAAGATGGAACTCTTATTTCCATTGACACAGACGACAAGTTTAGCACCATCAAAAACATTTTAGCGGATAAAAAAATTGGTATGTAAAAAAATCTAAGTTAAAAATAGTTGAGCAGATTTACCAAAAAATAACAATATGAAAAAAGTAATTTTGCAAACAAATCTTACCTTATAAAACAAAAACTTATTGTCAAAAAGTCTCATCTGAATAAGTAAGTTTTATCGCTCTTTTTAAACTAATTATAAGTTAAAATTATAATCTGTTTCTTTAGAGTAATTAATGTAAACAAGTAATTCTTAACTGGGGTTGGATTGAACCCCAGGGGTTCAGTGAGTCAGTCTCTGGGGTTTGTGGTCTGGAGGTTAAGACACACACCCAGCTCATTTGACTCATGATTGGATTTTGCCAGTGCACACTATATAACTATTAAGAAGTGTTTTGGTGAATGAGCATAAGACACTGGTGGGGTTCAATACCTTGAAAATGTTAAGAACCACTGATTTAAACTAAATAGTTATTTGCTCATATCAGAATTAGCTTATATAGAGACAAAAGCAATGTATTGATTTTAATTAATTTTTCTACTTCATCTAAATGTCATACTATAATCTTGTAATATCTGGTGTTTAAAGATAAAATGTCAGTGGTAAAAATAAAATTCTTCCAGGCCCTATCTGGATTGCTGGTAGAGTGGTGGCTCGTAAAGGAGCTCGTGGAATTGTCAATTTCCAGAGTGTCTTGTCTGACAATGACAAGGGTAAAATTGAGGTGGCCAACTATGACCTCCCTGAATACATCCTGAATAAAATTAAACTCTCCCCTGACATCAGGAAATCCTCCATCCCAAATGATGGTTTAGTTCTTAGTGTCATACTTACCCAAGAAGGCGATGCAGTGGCTGTTCTTTCAACTTCCAAAGCCACTCCTGTTTGTGTTCTGAGTAAGTGTGAAATACTGATATTATTTCTATATGTTTAAAACATTATAACATTTTTAACCACTCATAAATAGGGATTGTGTGGTTTATTGGTAGAGCACATGACTGTTAACACACAATCCTTGAGTTCATTAACTGGTCATTAAAGTCATTAGAGCACCACTGAGTCTATCCAGTTCTGATGGGTAACTGACTGGAGACAGAGAAACTAAGAGTGACTGGACATATTGCTGACCTCTCAATCTTTTCATATGCCAAAATAAAACACATAAACTCTTTTTCATACGGACCGTCAGGTCTGAAAAGGTACTTTTTCATAAAGTAACAAAATTCAAAGATAATTGCTTGTGTATAATATTTTGTGCTAAAAAGGAAGCTGCTCTTTTATCCATTTATGTTTGTTAATTTTTTCTACTTTGTAATTTTGTTTAATAATACATTTTTTTACAGCTGTTGTTTCAAAATATTTAAATATCTAACTTTAGAAAACAAACATAATAATTATACCCTGCCTAATATAGATTAAATATTCCTATTAATAGGAGAAGTTCCTGAAGACCAGACTCAGTGGTTTGATAGCTGTAATAATGATGATGACATGGAAGATGGTGACCAAGAAACTCATCACAGTATGCTCATGGTAAATTACATGGTTTCATTCTCATCTATTTTTACCTAACTACTAGAAAACATCAAAAACTTCAACATGGAGAAGAATGGGACTTTCTCATTTATGAGATCTTATTGATTCTATTAGCCTAAATTCCATTTTCTAAGCTACAGATTATTCTCTTTCCAATTAGTTGTAAGAGTAATTTCAAAATAAGTAATCAAAGTACTAAATTTTTACTCTTTTAAGCCAACAATCAGTGCACCTAAATTATTAGGGTTTTTTTCCATTAAACTTAGGACTGCAAGTTTACATTTTAAACTTTTATATGAACATTTTAGAATATTTAAACTACTTAACTGGGTAATAATAATACTATTTTAAGAGCTTTGTTTTAGTTTCCATTTCTTTTATATGTCACCATATTGCAGTATACAGTAATGATGGTTTCAATGACCAATGATCTTAGGACAAATACTTTCAGAATACAAAATATCTCAAGAACAAAATATCTGAGCACAAAAGCTATCATGGACAAAATATATCTGACTTATTATCTCACATCAAAATACAAACAGTATTTAGAATTAATTTTCTTTAAATGCAAAAATGAAGCTTTTTCATAGTAAACATTTTTTTATAGCATAATTGATTTAATAACCAGTTGTATTTAGAATTATATTATAAAAAGGTTAAAAAAAAATACCATTGAGATATTTTAAGATATTTTGTCCCAAGATCATTTGTCCTGTGATATATATAATTTCTTTAACAATACCATCCTTACTTTGAAAATAAGGAGTGATGTAAAAGAAAACCCTTAACTTAAAGTCTAAATGGTTAATCAACTAACAATATGTGCTGTTTTCAATATATTTTTGTTTATTCCCGCAGAATCCAAACTGCTTGGTCTGTCTTAACCCTATGGATGTGCGCTGTGTTGCCAACCCCAATCCAAAAGTTGCTGGGTCCTCTGAAGGGGACTGTGCTAATCGCGCTGATGGTTTGTTCTACGACTGCAATCAAGGAAATAATTGCATTGACAAAGGTGTAAGCACAAAGTGTACCAAAGGTGAGAAATTATCTAGTAAATATATAGGCAGATAAAATAAACTAATATTTCAGGAAAATTAAATATGTATGCATATATATCCCTGTATATATATATATATATATATATATATATATATATATATATATATATATATATATATATATATATATATATATATATATATATATATATATATATATATATGTAGAACCTAGTTATAAGAAAAAAATGTTTGAAATTTAACTATAAATTTTAAATTTAATCCAAAACAAAGATTATGATGAGTGCGCTACTGGACTCCATGATTGCCCTGCAAACTCTGAGTGTGTAAATACAGTGGGTGACTTTTCATGCAAATGCAAACCTGAATTCCCACTCATGGTCAGAGGACAATGCCAGAGTAAGTAGTCATGGTGTAGGCACCTGATTAATGCATGGGATTTGTAAGTAGTCACAGTGTAGGCACCTGATTAATTCATGGGCTTTGTAAGTAGTCACAGTGTAGCCAACTGATTAATGCTTGAGTTTTATCCATGTTCAATGTTTGTGATTTGTACCAGCTATCAAAATGTAAATTTTTTTACACTTTATGATCTTAAGTGCATAAGATTAATAATTGGTTTATTAGAATTAAGTACATATTACTGCCTTTTTTATCCAGGTTAGCAAAGTTTATGAAAATTTGTTATAATTTATGATCTTGTAGGCTTACAGAGCTGTGTAATGCAAGGGCCAGCTACTCCACTTGACTATGTTTATAATATTCAAACCCTGTCTGGAAAGGAAGGTCTCTTAGATTTCACTTGTAAATTCAAGTTGGCTACCCTGTGCAATCAATGTAAGTTGTCATTATCACAATTATCACATTGTTAAATACTATATTTGGTGTAGTACTAATTCTTTATTACTGACTTTATAATTAGCCATATGACTTATAATTAGCCTTAGTTTTAAATTTAATAACTTTAATACTAACAATGCATTTATGGAACACGTCTTTATATCTTGCTATTTTTTCTTAGTTTTTAAGGAGAGAGCATAATCAATTTCATTTAATGTTTGGCTTAAAATATTCACTACACTGCTTTTAACAATACATTATTAAAATTAAACATTATTATACATTTTAACACATAATAACCATCTATTTTCTAAATTTACTAATACATTTTTTATAAATTAGTTTATTTTGAAAACCAGGTGTTATAATTGTATCTGGTAATAATCAAGTAGGGTCTTTCTATTTAAATTATGTTTTTAATTTAAAATAAATAACACTGCATACTTGATTTTAGACAATGTAATCGAGCACGTTACTGTTATGATGTCATCAGTATGGTTGGTACTGATGGCTGCAGTGAGAGGTTCAAGAAAACACAAACGCAATTTCAGCTCTTAATTTTAATGGTTGATACTTTAGTCTTGGATAAAATAGGAAATAATCTTGAACATCAATAGTGGCCAGCCTTAGGGGCCAGCCCTACCACACTTTACAAACAAAACACATCTACATCCTAGCAAAGCAAATGTTCAACTGTCCTCTCTTTTTCTGGCCCTCACCACCCAGCCTGGGGTCTATGTACTGGCTTAACCTCCAATACAATAGGGCATCTCATTACTTGTTTCCCCAAATTTGCATTCCAGGTTAGTTGAGCCCGACTAAGGTCAAAGACCAGGCAACCGGTACTTCCCCTAGCCTGCACTTCTCTAGGTGTCCCAGTGTGGGACGGGAGTGGGGGGTGGTGAGGCGGGTGGATAACCAATGGACTCAGCTATAACAGTTACTCTTTAATTAAATATCAAATTTAGTTCTCATACTCAAGTCTATTTAATGTCCCTGAACCTATCTAGTTTTGATGTGTTTTCCTGCATTGAGTCAAGGAAAGTAATGCTGGATAGTGCTAATCATACAATCCTGTAACATGCTGAGATGCAATAAGCAGATGGACACCATTTCATATTCCCCTAGCACCATCATAAAAGACTTTACCCCTCACTTTTATTAATTTTTTTTATGCTGTCATTGATGGCAGGATGGTGGTTTTAAAATGAGTTACCAGTAACTTGTCTTTCCAAAGTTTTTTTCTCTCCAAGATAAAATAAAATGTTTTTAGTTCTGATGCAATGCATTTTTATAAACTTTATGAATGTACTCAACAGACAAAGCTTCATCTGGCCTACCATCAATCAGCATCTACATCCTGAGCACCAGGGTGGCTGGTGCCCTACAGCCTTACTACTCTGGAACCTGCTATAACCCAGATAATGGTGTTGTCAAAACCTGGGCTGTGACCCCTGACCTTCTACAGCAAGGTTACATAATGGTGAGATTTTTTTTTTTACAACCACTAGGGTTGGTGTCATCCAGTTTGGTAATTCGAAGTTTCACCCCCCCCCCCCCCCCCCCATCCCCAAACACACTCAATAAAAAGTAAATATATGTATATGTATTTATTTATTTATAAAGATGTACCTTTGTTTCCTCTGTATTTAATGTTTTCATGTTGGTGCCCCCCATATTTATATTTAAATGGTGTCATGTCTTAAATGGTTTCACTTTGAGAAGCTATTGCTTTATGTTGAATATATTTATTCAAAACCAGTTAGTAATTTTTTTCTAAAGTAACAAGCAGCAAAAGTAAAATGCATGATTTTTTTTTTACCCTTGATAACGCTTGATGAATTGATAACTATGAAACAGAGTTTTGTTAATTTAAAACCCACTGCAAGAGTTTTTCATATGTATGTGTCCTTATTAATTTTTTAAAACATTTTTTTATTTCAGCTTGGCGACAGTGATGCCAACTCAGTACAAACTGCCCTTAGCTTCACTGACCCAGCTACCAGTGTCAGTTATCAGTTTGTTGCCCCTGGTACTCTTATCATCAGCCATCAGTCTGGCTTTTTCAAGGTCACAATTACTGCAAACAGCATCCGGGTATGTTTGGATAAACATATAGTCTAAAATATTTTGGTGAATCTATTTTAGACAGGCATTATTTTAATTTATTTTTAATTGATTTGCTTTCCTTCATCTCAGACCGAGTTCTCAGGAGAGTACAGAGATAAACTCTGTGGTGTATGTGCAGCTTCATCAGCTGGCTCTGGGGGATTCCTTGAGCTCAGTCAATCAGAGCTTCAAGAGGTTTCAGTCTTACAAGAATCCCTGTAAGTTTATTGTTGTTATAGGTTTGACCTTTGTTGCCATTGTCTACTGAGTTTTCCTCATTCTGCTGACAATTTTTCTGACAAACAAAAGGCTTGCAGTTACGTCTTTGTAACAGTCATAGTTTTCAAAACAGTTTTTGTATGCTCTGCATGAAAGCAATGAAGGCTTGTTCTTTAACTTCTTTACATGACAAGAAGTGATACAAAAACCTCCAGCAGAATAATAACTTTGGAAGAAGTCTAATTTTAATCTAGCTGAGACATCACACTTTGAGGACTTATCAGAGTAGGCTAGGCCTACACCCTCATAAACTCATGTAATCTAACTCATTTTAAATATCGCTGCTCAACTCAGATGACGTTACTTGAATGGATATAATTATTGATATGAAAAAAATCATGTTTTTGTCATTGTTACTTTCAATTAAAAATGAAGCGTAAGTGATCTCCCCAAACTTTATCGAATATTCTTATATAAATTATATATAACATTACAGAGATGGCAAGTCAGGAAATAGACATGATTTTTTATTAATTTTTAATAACTAAAACTTTTTAAAATAGAATAAAATCTCGTAGAAAAAGAATTGTGCACAAAGTGAACACCAAACAATCTGTGTATAATAGTGCAGAATATTAGTACTTTATAAATGCATATGCGTTTTTTGAGAAATTGGAAATAGTGTAAAGTACTACTAGTAAATGGAAATAACTCAAATTTTGACAGAAAACAGAGGATTAGATCTTATACATATTACATATATCAAATGTCGTCTATCTATTTGAAACAGTACTCAAAATATAGACTTTTGAAAAACCAACAAAAGTAGCATAAGTTCCACTTCAGGTTACCGAAAATTGCTGAAAATTTTAAATTTTAATTATCAATAAAAATTAAAAGTTGAAATGTAGAGAACTTGAAAATAATTTTTTTGTGTTTAAGGCTAAAATTCTATTTGTTTTTACCAAGCCTAAATTATACCCTGAAGTTTCAATTTTGTAAGGCAAGCATTGATTGGCTGTAAAGAAACTCTATGATTGATCTTCTGAAAACCTCACTTTCTAGTAATATGCACTCAAAAGTTTGCTGATAGAATTGTATAATAAAACTAGACTTTTTTACACCACAAGGTCTATTTATGTCATTTTTACTTTCTCGTATATACGAAGTATGGAGAAAGTCTTGTAATCGTGCAAAAAAAAAATCAAGATTTTTACAAATCTCGACGTCTTACACCTCACTGATAAGGAAAAACATAATTTTGCAATCTTGTCCATATGTCTGTGTGTGTCTGTGTGTAAACAGGATAACTTGAGTACCGTTACAGCTACGTTGATGAAATTTCATATGTAAGTATTTTATCAAAATCGTAGATCCGTATCAACTTTTGAGCGATTTCCAATAACCGGAAGTGGTACTTTTTCTACTTTGAATTTTTCAAAAGCCTATAACTTGAGTACTATTTCAGATAGATAAATGAAATTTCACATGTAAGTAAAAGATCTAATACTCTACCTTCTGTCAAATTTTGAGTAATTTCCGTTGAGCCGAAGTACGAATTTACGCTATTTCCGATTACTCAAAAAACGCACGTAAATTTATAAAGTACTAATAATATCCCGCACTATTATGCACATTATATATATATATATATATATATATATATATATATATATATATATATATATATATATATATATATATATATATAATTGGTGTGCAATTCTTTTTTTTACGAGATTCCATTCTATTATAAAAAGTTTAAGTAATTAAAAATGGATTACAGATATTGTCTATGTCCTGAGTTGCCATCCCTCGTAGTTTTATATTAGAATATTCGAGAAAGTTTAGGGGAGATCACTCCCGGTTTATTATGTACATTATCAGTGACAAAATCAAAATAACCAATTTGTTTTTTTAACACGTTTTTATTAACTCAGCTTCGCGTTTGTGTGTTTGTTGTTAAAATTGACATCTAGAGACCGTAATTAGCTTAATTTAATTACGCCCCAAGGACCATAAAATTGAGGACATGATTTCTAAAGATACCGACAAGACTGGAGGCTTATTGACACAGTTACTTCGGCCCCAATCGATGTGAGCGCGCTGGCCGTGATCGTATAGTGGTTAGTACTTCGCGTTGTGGCCGCGACAACCCAGGTTCGAATACTGGTCGCTCAAGATTTTTTTAGTCCGTGTATTTATAAACACTTAGTCAATTCATACTTAATCAAGTCATTAGATAAAGTAGAAAATAAACTATATAAAAAACTTTTTTAAAAACCACGTTTTTCATGTGTAGCAACGGACTAAAAAGGAGAAAATAAAATACTTAAAAAAAACTTTTTAAAAAACCACGTTTTTCTTGTGGACTAAAAAGTAGAAAATAACTATTTACATACATTTGATGACAAAAAACGTGGGTCGGGCAGATGGGTCGGGAAATTTGATGGTGAACGTACCCACGTTTTTTGTCATCAAATGTATGTAAATAGTTATTTTCTACTTTTTAGTCCACAAGAAAAACGTGGTTTTTTAAAAAGTTTTTTTTAAGTATTTTATTGCGGGTTTTTTTCCTTCATTTTTTAGTTATAAAAAATACTATAAACATCAAACACATCCAATTTTTAGTAAAATTTGACAGAAACCAAACAATCAGGTTTTTATAACCATATTTATTTTAATCAGATTGCACATGATTTAAAAAAATATTTAATTGGCCTTTTGTGACTAATTTAGAGACAATTCTTGTTGGTATCCATTCCTTTCTCACAGATATTCAGCGACCAGAATTTTACTAAACTAAAATCTATAGCCACAATATATTTGTTACAGGTTTGAATCACTAAGAATAGACTAATTTTTTAAATTAACCAACTAGTAAGACATAGGCCCCCTAGTCAGAATTTAGATGTGTAATCTGAAATATTAAAGCTGTTGTAACTTGATTTTTGTTTTGTTGTTTATTATTAATTTTTCTGGCAATGATAGATACTTATATTATGATAATTCAGCATTTTTATTAAACAATACGAATTTACAGCTATTTAGAAAACTAGATCTAGATGGTAAAATAAGGCTAGTAAGTCAGTAAGTGTCTTATATGGACAGAAATATCAGTTATTATTCTAACTTTAAAACAAAAACCATTTTTTTATCATGAAATAAGTTATTTAACTATTTTTTTTTAAATGTTACTTTCAGATGTGCACCACGCACACCAATCCCATCTTTCCCCACTGAACCACCTGCATCCCCTGAACCAAATGGTCCTCCACAACAACCAGACCAATCAAACACACCTAGCGCAATATTTCCAACCTACCCTGATGATGTCAGCACACGAGGTGAACCTCTAGAACCGGTTACCATCCCATCTGTGATATCAACCCTTGCCCCAGTCACCACACAGTCAACCACCTTGTCACCAGATGAAGATCCTTGCAGCTACCAGGCTATTGATGACTGCAATGCTCTCAACCTGCTTTGTAATGTCCCTATTGTAAGTTCATGTGTTAGTTAACCTACTGTCTTAAATAGATAAACATAGATACCAACTTTCTTATTATGCCCAACAGTAAATTCCTGTGTTAAATGTTAACCCATTACATTCGTTAGCTCTTTCATTGTTAAGCCCCAAATGACAAGCACATTTAGATACTTAGGATAGGCCTGAACAGTAGCAATAATTAAGATAAACGGAGCCCAAGCAATAAACCAAAAGATCTCTCATAGAAAATTTAAACTGCACAAGAAACTTCAATAAAATGTCCTTGCCATAAACATCAATACTTGATCAAACACAGGTCTTAGCATTCAGTCCACTGCCTCTAGTTCTAATGATCATTTTTAAAAATAATTTCAGTTTTATTTACACTAGAGACAAGCTGGTAAGTTTTGAATAGCATTATAAAAAAATTTCCCTCTTTTATGTGTGAACAAAATACATTTTAGACAAATTTTAATCTATCAAGTAAATACAGTTGAACACATTTAACCTTGGTTAACTCGCCATCCCTATTAAGTGGATGTTTGTGAAGTGGAATCACCAAAATCTCTGTATGTTCCAACATTTTATAATTTTCTCCATAGGATCGTTTTTGTGCCAAGGACATATGGGGGCCGCCACATAAAGCTCCCTCTACTTTTGTCAGTCACTGGTAATATTCCTGGCGGTCCCGCTAGACAGTCCTGCCTCTGCCAGCAGCAATGCCGTTGGCCTACACGTCTGCCTTAGCCTTAACTGCTTTCTTTTTTCTCGAGGCGTCCAGTTTAGAGCCATTCTTGAGATGTCATCTGAATTCATTCTTAGGACGTTCCCCATCCATCACCATCTTCTTTTTTCGATTATTTCAGAAACTTCTTCCATTTCTATGTCAGCCAGTAGTCTATCATTTGAGATGGTGTTAGGCCAGTGGATGTCTTTTATCCTTCACCAGCGCTTTGTTTGTTATTAACTGTGTCAAATGTTTTATGTGTATTATCTCTAGCAACAAAAGGGGGCCAAATTTACCACATAACATCAGTTACCTGGATCCCCATTACCACGTGCCAAATTTATAACATGAATGAGTGTTGCAACATGTGATATTAAAAGAAAGTTTTTGTGGTTATTTTTTCACAAATAACAAACAATAACAAAGGATAAATTAATAAGTTTTGTATTATTAAAAAGGACTACTTTTTTATACAGGAGTGACAGAATCCCTTTAATGTAAAGTAATATGTCCAGTCTTGTGATTAGTTATGTTTACGCTAGCATTCACTACCCATGTTTTAAGATTATGTACATTTTTACATCATGCATATCACTTCATGTAATTATTGTCTAGCACTACAATATTAAAAAGAAAATATTAAACAACGTATTTGAATGTCGTGTTCCAGGATACTTGCAAGGCTGCAATTTGTCCTGGCACCCAAGATTTGTGCCAGTATTTGGTCTCACAACAGTTCACATGTGCGCAGACGGATAATCTCAAAGTTCTTTCCAAGAGATGCAACAGTAAGTTCGGGCTGTTTTTTTATTACTGTTGGTTAAGTGTAGGCCAACTTTGATGGTTCTTTTTTAATCTATATATTACAACAGACTTTACTTTAGAACCAATTATTCAAGTAACCCTACTATGTTTTTTATTTTATATACATTTTTGCAAAGAATGCTTTCATCCTTGTTTTTTTTAATCAACGTAGGCAATCTGTTTTTGTCATTAATCTTATAGGCCTAATGTAGTGTTTCTCTGTTATTACACATATTGTTTAGGGAATTTTAAATCAGTAAATATGGTAGATCATTAAAAACAAAATATTTAAGGGATGATAAACAAAAATGAAATATTCTCATTTAAGAACTGTGTGGTGCCAATATGGAATTCATATACACATCCAGAACAGACCAGCCATCTTGTGCCAAACCCACTAAGTCTGACATGGTTAGCCAGAACGCCAATGATGATGTAGGCTTTATCTGTGCCTGTGAGGACGGTTATGTCCAGAGCAGAGCAGAATGTGTCAGGCTGTCAGACTGTGGTTGTGTCATGCCCAGTGGGAAATATTATCCTGTAAGTTGTTAGGTCTAACAAAATATTATCCTGTAAGTTGTTAGGTCTAACAAAATATTATCCTGTAAGTTGTTAGGTTAAACATAAAATATTATCCTGTAAGTTGTTAGCTCAAACAGAAAATATTATTCTGTAAGTTGTTGGATATAAATATTATCCTGTAAGTTGTTTAACAGAAAATATTATCCTGTACATTGTTTAACAGAAAATATTATCCTGTAAGTTGTTGTACAGAAAATATCCTGTAAGTTGTTTGATATAAAATATTATCCTGTAAGTTGTTGTATAGAAAATACCCTGTAAAATGTTGGGTCTAACAGAAAATATTATCCTGTAAGTTGTTGAATATAAAATAATATCCTGTAAGTTGTTGTACAGAAAATATTGTCCTGTAAGTTGTTAAGTCAAACAGAAAAAACTTACTGCATCCTTTTGATGTACCACATAATTAATCACAGAAAAAATAAAATAGCTTTCTGTTATCAATACATTTTCTTTAGTGATGTGAAGCCTAACAATATTTTCACTTTTTTTTATTATCATGTATATTTTTACTATCTGTAACTATATATAACAAGGACTATTTCGGTAAACAAAGGTTGAGAATGGGATCAGGAAAAATATCATATGATCCCTTCATACAATGCCCTGGTACTTATCCTGAGGATTTCACTCCTTTGTGCATCCATTTTTTTTTACAAAAATATCATTTGATAAAACATCATTTTGAAACTATAATTTGCCTTGCTTATGAATTAACTTTTAATTTCACCCATCCATTACATAACAATTTATTCATTCATTATTATTTTTAAAATTTCTATTCACAGCCTGGTTTCCAGTGGCGCTCAGCCAACTGCGCAGAACTCAAGACATGTTTGGGTAACAACAATGTTGACGTGCAGGTGTCTTCCTGTGGTAAAAACACTGAGTGCGCCAACACTGAGAAAGGACCTACGTGTGTATGTAAGAAAGGATTGTTTGGTAACCCAGATATGCCACAAGGCTGTGAGAAAGGTGAGGTCTAACGATTTTTAAAACATGTTTTCAAATTATTTATATTACAATGGGTAAAGATAATGGCCTAATTTTTCATTGCACACAAATAGTTATTAACAAAAATGACTTAATTTGTGCAAAAAAATATTAATTTCTGAATATTTTATAAGCATATCTTTTTATTTAAAAACCCTAAACATCAATTTTTAAACTTGTCAACATTCTCTAAATGTTTAAGGAACATTTAGCAGATTGGGAGTATACCTTTTTTCTTTTACTGCTAACCAACCTCAGATGTTTTATTTAATTTTATATTCATCCTCACTGTAATTAAACTCAACTCAAACATGAAAAGTGGGAATAGTTTTAAACATATAACTTTAAAACATTGAAATTGAAAGAAATTATAGCAATTCAATGTAGTTTAAACTAATAAATCATTAATATACAATTACTGATATAAACAAATGCTATACAAAACACTAATTTAAAAATTTACTGCTTCTTAATTGAGGTAATTAATTATTTTTTTTAACAAACCTGTGGGTCATCTCATTTTTTTTCCTCCCAAAAGATTGAAAATGTATTTTAAAATGTTTAAGGATTTATGTCATCAAATATGCACACATTTATTAGGTGAGGTCTCCGATGATGGTAGCAAAACCTGCTACACCTATGCTACAAACTCCGGTGATGAAGAACGATGTGACTGTAACATGGGTTATGCCTCCAGTTGTGAGGAATGCTTGGGTAAAAACACATTTTTAACTCCAAATGTGAAGATTTTTTTTTCTACTTTTGGTTGTTATTTTTAAATTGATAAAGGAGGTAGTTTATTTTTTACACTAAATGACACTGATAGATAATGATAATTCTAAAAAAATTGTTTTTACCCCATTACACATCTTTTTAAAAAAGATTTTTAACTTATATCTACAGTTTAAATAATATTTTTACCTCCTTTATTATTTCACTGAGATTGAATAAAAAAAGCATTCATATGTGACTGAAATATTATGTTTTTCAAAATATTTTTTTAGAAAATATGTTAACTTCCAATATTACTTCTTACAACTTTCAAAGAATTGAAAATCTCTTTGAAGAGCCAAATTTAAAGTCTTAGGAACTTGTTTTGGTCACTTTAAGCACCATTTTCCCCTATAGGCTACAGCTGTCATTTATTTATTACTCCATCTTAAACTTTAGACATGGACGAATGTGCCGAAGGAACCCATCAATGTAATCTGGCCTATGAGAAGTGTGTCAATGTACGTGGTGGCTACAGGTGTGACTGTGCTGATGGCTACACATTCAAGGGAGGAAAGTGTGTTGGTAAGAGTTGTCAAACATGAAACTAATTTTCCCAATTTTCCACTCCTATTTTTAGCTAAATTAAATTTTGAAGAACAAAATTTTTAAAAAAAAATACTTTTTTAGTCAAGTTTTAGAAATTGCAAATGGGTTTTTTTAAATTATCATATTTTATGAAGCAAAATCGGTTTGATAGAGAACCATGTATGATACATGAATAGAAAATGTATCAAAACATATTACAGTTGCACTAACTTCTTGGTCATCTTTCATATTCATAAAAACAGCTTAAATTTTGATTTCTTTACCCCTAAATGTCTTATTCAGAATGTGCAATATTCATGTAGCTACTCTTTAGATGATTCTTTAAAAAATCACGATCAAAATAAAAAAACAGTTTTCTTTTTCCAACATTAGTTTTTATCTCTAATTAGATTAGTGAATAAATATAATTGATTACAATATCCCTGCAGATCTGGACGAGTGTTTAGAGCAGCCAGGAATCTGTGGTGACAACTCCCAATGTACCAACAAGGTTGGTTCATATGAGTGCAGCTGCTGTGTTGGCTACTTATGGAACCCAGTCTCAAAGAGTTGTGAACGAGATAATGCCGGTAAGTATAGCATGACAATGCCAGTAAGTATAACATGACAATGTCAGTAAATATAACATGACATTGTAAGTATAATGTGATATGGTTGGTAAGTATAACATGACATTGTCACTAAGTATAACATGACATTGTCACTAAGTATAACATGACATTGTCACTAAGTATAACATGACATTGTCAGTAGGTATAACATGACAGTGTCAGTAAGTATAATATAACATTGTTAGTAAGTATAACATGACATTGTCTATAAGTATAACATGACATTATCAGTAAGTATAACATGACATTGTCAGTAAGTAGAACATGACATGGTTGGTAAGTATAACATAACATTGTCAGTAAGTATTTGGAAATCTTCATTCCTTTGGTTTTATTAAAAACACTGTAATGATTTTAAAAATGTATATAATCAGAAGGTTACAAAAAGAAAATAGAGAATAAACCTATACTAAATGGTAGAGTTCATTCTCATATTTTTATTTACATAAGTGCAGCTATACTGTTTTCAATTATGTATTATTCTATTCCATATTAAAATGTTGAAAACCTTTCAAAAAATTAATCCTGTACCTCTTTTCTGGGGTAGTTGTAATTGTTAATTTCTACTACTAATTTTTTTTATTTTCCTTTCTCTCAACCTTGAAATATATTTGAATGAACTACTGAACAATTATAAACAACACTTTTAAATTGATTTATAAAAATTGTGGTAATAGCTTACATTGTTTTAAGTATGAAACAGAAACAAATTTTGTTTCTTTCCAACAGGTGTCCCTGACCTCCCAGATGGCGCTGCTTGCTGCGCTGTCTGTAACGACGCTGTTCTCTGCGATGAATCCATCAGCAGCCCAATACCTTATTGCTACACTGATAATGGAGAGAACAAGCAGTACTCAAGCTACATGAAACTCTACCAGGATCGATGCATCAACAACCAGCCATTTGATGGAGACAAACTATTGAGAGGAAAATGTCCTGCTGAACCATCTGTACCACCAGTCGAAGGCAATGATGGAGGTGAAATTTTAAAAATAATAAACTGTTTTGTCAAAAGGCAGTGCTTCTAAAAATAATGAACTGTTTTGTTAAAAGGCAGCGCAAAAAAACTTGCTCCAAGTTCAAATCTTGATCATGACTGTATTTTGACTCAAATTTCCTAAAGGCCAACTGCTTACTACACCATCATTGTGTTTATCATAGTTGTAAAATTTGGTCCTATAGGCCAATAAGATCTAGTAATTTTATTTTATTAATCCGGTTTTGAATTTAATTTGCTATCTTGAATTTAAATCTGACAAGATTTTAAAATCCTTTCATTTTTTTTCTTTAGTTATGCACTGTTAAAACTAAAAATTGAGTTAGTGTTGTAGCCACTATAACTATTTCGACTCCTTTATTATATTAAATGCCTGTAATCAACATGAGTGTTTTGTGATCCTAGGTAATCCAGATACACCAGCTCCATTCCCAACTTCCTGTGATGCTCCATCACTTTGTTCAGCAGTGCCACCTCCTCCTCCAAATCTGGCTTCAGGTAAGAGAACTCTTCAATATTAGGAAACATCAGGCTTTACACCTTAGAGTTTTTAGTAGCAGGAGAATATAATACAAGTTATCCATTGTACATCTTTCAATTTCTAGGTCCAGTTTGTGGTCCAGCTAACTCACAGACCCCAGAGAGCTTCCCATCATACTGTGACATGGTTAAAGCTGAATGTAAGAAATCAGGAAATCCTGCGGACTTGCCAAAGACTTCACCAATTAAAGCCAACCCAGGCAAATGCATTGGAAGTGGACAAGCGCCACCATCAACTCCTCCACCACCACGTAATTTATTTTCTTAATCTTTATATGTCTAATTAGATAACAAATAAGCTAATTAAGATCAGACTTTTCATTTAGTTGAAATATTTCATTAACATTTTTTTCTAAAGTAAATAAAAATAAATATGTAAATGATATATTCATTTAAACAAGATGATACTATACATTTGAGGAAGTTTTAAGTACTGAACAACATAACACTCTTTTTTAAAATTATTAACCCCTTTTAGACTAGTTAAAATATAAACATTACATTGTACATGTAGGGGGTCGGCGTGGTCAAGTCGGTAAAGCTCATGGTTGCTAAACCGAAAAGTCTCGAGTTCGAACCCTCGGGCAGATGAAGCTCGTTAGCTGGGGACAGCCACTCTTCTAGGAGAGACAACTCCAAAATTAAACAACTGCTGCCTTGTAGTTTGTTCTTTGTTGGACAAAGGCTATGGAAGCAAATCCAAAAAGAAAAGCAGGCTGAAATCGGAGTCAACGGCCTCAATGGTGCATAACCAGTTGACACGTAACGCTTAATTGTGTTGGAGGCGTGGTCAAGTCGGCAAAAAGCTCATGGTTGATAATTCGAACAAAGTCTCGAGTTCAAACCCACTGGCAGATAAATCTCGATCCCCTTCAACACTAATAATTAAAACGAAGAAGAAGAAGAAGAAGATTGTACATGTAAAAATAGCGACTAGCATGACCTGTAGCACAATGATTAATACATTTAGAAATAAATGTACTTGTTTTTTCTTACAATATATCACATTTAATACATGTTTTTATAATATTACAAATGGTTTGTTGAAATATTAAAATTTCTTTAATTTCAAAGCACTTGACCTAACATTTAGCAAATTTCTCATCTCTAATTCCTATGTCTAATTCATCATTTCTAATTTGTGATCTTTAATTCATCATCTCTAATTGGTGATCTTTAATTCGACATCCTTAATTCCTCATCTCTAACTCGTTTCTCTAATTCCCAGCTGCGGAACCAATTTTCACACCCTGGACCCCCTACAGTACCTGCCAGCTTGTTGTGCCAGGGGCTGAGTGTGGTGTGGGTATACAGATCAGAAACAGAGAGCTCGCACCTTACGATGATGGCAGAAAAGTTAGAGATGTCGCTAACTCTGAGCTAAGCTCCAACAGACCGTGTTATGTTCCCTGTCCTAAACCAGAATCAGGTAGGCTTACATACTGTTAATACATTTCCTTTTGCTCTTTATCATTATGCTGCATAAAAGAGTTCCTCAAAGCTACGAAAAGGAATTTATATAAAAACATATACTTTTACCAGTGTTCGTCCCACAGAAAATGTTGACTGGAAGAAACACTGATTGAAAGTTTAGAAAATTTAAGTTTGCTATTTACTGATGTACTCCAGTATTGTGCAGAAACATATCTGCCAGTTTTTGTATTCAAATCTATTTGACAATGTGTATTTCTTTTGCTATAATAGCTTGTATAAAAAATCATAGTTTTCTTAAACACTTATTTCATTTTTATAAATAATTGTCATCATTAATGTGAAAATGTTTGATCTGTACAAATAATGTTTATTACTCTTTATTATTGAAACTATATATTTTTTTGTATGCTTATAGGTGAGCCTGCAGATTCCAACTGTCCAGAGACCAGTTTCTGTAATGCCGTTGAACCTGTCTGTGGTTCCATTGGCACAAGCGCTGCCAGTCAGTTCAAGAGTGAGTGTGAACTCAACGTCACAGCTTGCCAGAAATCTGATGTCCCACACAAACTTTATGCTGGAGACTGTGATGCTGAAGACAGTAAGTTGATTAATTAGTCTTTTAATATTTCCTGTGTATATAGGTAATGGATAGTAATTTAAATATGTGATTTGTTTTTAATTCATATTCTTGAAATATCTCATATGTGTAGAGTCAAAACTGAATCTGTATGTGCTAATGGATAACATGATTTGAAGTATAATTTGTTTTTATAAAACTTTTGTACAGTTATTTTTCATTTCAAAATCCTTCACCTGTCATTGGAAAATGTAATTCTTTTTATATCAATGGCAAGAACGAGTTCAATTTTAAACATAGATTAAATTCAGTCGCATATGTTTTGTGTAACCAAATTCATTTTAACTCCATAGGTGGAGCTAAGAAACGTTACTGTGAAGAGGCTGGGCCTGTGGATGATCTAATGACTTACAATGTAGAAAAAGATGGCCTACACTGTGTTGGCCAGCCAGTGAATGTTGGGAACTGTGGCAACCTGTTGTGTAGCGGGGCTGAGGGCACTTGCTGTAAGGCTGTAGAATACGAGAAGATTCAAGTGGTGGCTGAATGCTTTAGCCAAGCCACTAAGGAGTCAGTTGGTCAGGAAAAACACACGGTAAGTCATGGTGTGGTAAGTGCGTAAAGGTGATTTGATGTCGTCCGTTGGAAGTTGGCTTTTTATTTGTGTTTAGACGCAGCTAGAAATTTTGCAGACATCCCTCATTTTGTAAAACGTTACCCACAAGTAGATAGGCCTACATAACCCATATAATACTTATGCATAATAAAATTATTAAAAATACAAACTAAGATTTAGCTAATTTAAATCCAGGTAGATGCGTTGATTTTTGTAACAGATGCATAGGCTTATATAAACACACACACAAACTCACTTACACATTTATAAATATTACAAATACATATATATGCCCTGTCCATACCACCCGATGTCCAGACCCACCTTGCATGTGCCCTAAACACACTAATAATTTTTACAAATCAAAAAGATGTTAGCAGTAACATTTTCTTAAAGTTCTAATATATTTCTATCCTTTTTTTCTCAGTATTTCTCTGCTACTAAATGCATGTGCCAACCACTCAAACCCTAGATTTGAATTGGAATTTTTAGCCAAGATTTGAAAATGAATGGAAACTCAATATGGACTCTGAATTAAGATTAAATTTATGTTCAAGCAAAATCCATCACTGAAATAAAAATTTTGAAGATGGAAATTATTCTTTTTCTTCGTTGTATAAAAATAATTTTAGATTCTTGTTGATGTTTGTTTGTGTGTAGAATTTACATCAGGTACATCAGAAAGTAAAAAAGGGGTCTATTCAAATAGGCTACACTAGTGTGATAGACATTGCTACTTAAAACTTACACTTATGGCATGTATTATTTACTTGACTTATATATATATACTATACATGCAGCGGCATAGCGAGGTCGGGTGTCACTCGGTGTGGCACTTAATGGTGCCACCCCCTCAGAGGCGTAGCGACTCTTCCCGGGGACAAACTTTGCACCCCCCCCCACCCCGAACTTTCGATTTGCACCCCCCCCCCCTCAAATTTTTTCTGTATATTTTACTATTTTTTTTGCCTTGGTGTCACCCCCCTAAATGGTGTCACCCGGTGCGGTCCGCAGTCCCGCCCGCCCCCCCCCCCCCTCTCTACGCCTCTGTATACATGTTATGGGTATATGGAAGGAACGTGCCGCTTCAAAACGGCCCCGACATAAGAGCCCCCGTCAAATGGGCCAGTGACAATTGGACCCCGACAAATAGGCTCTCGTCACTTAGGCTTCCGACAGTTGGGCTCCCGCCATTTATGCTCCCGTCATTATGACTCCCGACAAAACGGCTCTCGTTATTACTACTCACGTCAAATAGGCTCCCAACAAAAGGGCTCCTATTAATACTTCTCCCGTAGAGACTAAGTATCCCGCGAAACGGCCAGTGGGACCCCTTCATCAATTCTCTATAGAGTTAGCTTAGCCAACACCCTTAAATAATAAAACGTATGCAGCTCTTGTTCGGCAGGCCTTATTTTTATAATATTTTATCTAGTATATGAAATAGTATGTTTTAAATTAAAGAGTCATCTAGCTATGATTTCCATTAAATGTGTCGGTTGCTGGCTGTTCCAACTCAGTGAGTGGGTAGAGAGTTCCACGCTGTATGCTTGTAGGTTATCAAAACAAAACGCAGTTTATCCTATAAACATCTTATATATCATGCATTTTAACTTCTAAGCTCTCTTTTAAGCAGTGGCGTAGCAATGTTGGGTGTCTACCGGTGCGACATGTAATGGTGTCATCTCCCCCTCCCCCCCCCCCCCCAGGAAAGATATATATATATATATATATATATATATATATATATACAGTGTTTCTTCCAGACTTTTTTCTCCGGGGGGGGGGGGGGAACTTGAAATTTTCGGGGGGGGGGGTTGGGGCGGTAGACTTTCTTCGGGGGGGGGGCACTGTCAGGGGAGGATTAAGCTTGGGCGGGGCCCCGGGCTGAAACATTGAGAAATCGGAAGTAGCGTAAATTACTACTTCCGGTCAACGGAAATTACTCAAAATTTAACAGAAGGTAGAGAATTAGATCTTTTACTTACATGTGAAATTTCATTTATCTATCTGAAATAGTACTCAAGTTATAGGCTTTTGAAAAATTCAAAGTAGAAAAAGTACCACTTCCGGTTATCGGAAATCGCTCAAAAGTTGATACGGATCTACGATTTTTGATAAAATACTTATATATGAAATTTCATCATCCTAGCAGTAACGGTACTCAAGTTATCGTGTTTACACACGGACACACAGACACACACAGACATACGGACAAGATTGCAAAATTATGTTTTTTCCGTATCAGTGAGGTGTAAAACGTTTTTTTTGCACGATTACAATACTTTCTCTATACTACGTATATACGAGAAAGTAAAAAGAGAATTTCAAACCACTCTATGTAGGAAATTATTAATAACATACAGAGGTTAAACTAGTAAAGTAAAGTAAAGTTTCCCTTTCAAACCTGACGACCTATGGGGCAAGTGAAGTAGAGTTCACTTGTTTCTGTGACCTCGGCATATGAAGAGATAGTATGGTCAGCACTATGCCCAGCCGCCTTTACTTTCCCTAACGTGAGTTAGGTACCCATCAGAGTTGAGTGGACTCAGGGACGGTCTACGAGGTTAAACTAGGCCCAACTAAAACAGTAAGCACGGTATAAGCATAAAAAATAAATTAAAAAAAAAACACACCTCCATCCCTTAGGTGTCATCCATTTATGAGGCCCACAATAAAATGGATTTCCACAGGCGTCCATTTAAAGAACGTCATCCCTGGCCTGTAAACCCGATATTAACGTTCACTAAAAGTAAAGGCCTATAAATGTTTTTAAAAGTTTAAATCATAGAATGTTCACACCAGATTCATGTCAATTATGTTTCAGAATTCGAACGCTGTTTATGTTTTTAACTCTACAATTAACCCAATTTATTGTCATAAGCAAACGCTGTCCGGGCTGGTATTTATACTAAAGTGTGTGCTCGAGTTTGATATTTTGATAAAAATAAACCGGGAGTGATCTCCCCTAAACTTTCTCGAATATTCTTATATAAAACAACAAGGGATGGGAACTCGGGATATAGTTATGATTTTTAATCCATTTTAAATACATAAACTTTTAAAAATAAAATAGAATCTCATAGAAAAAAGTATTGCACACCAAGCGAGCGCCGAATAAAGATGTTCATAATGGTGCGCAATATTATTAGTACTTTATAAATTTAGATGCGTTTTTGAGAAATCGGAAATAGCGTAAATTAGTACTTCCCGTCAACGGAAATTACTCAAAATTTAACAGAAGGTAGAGAATTAGATCTTTTACTTACATGTGAAATTTCATTTATCTATCTGAAATAGTACTCAAGTTATAGGCTTTTGAAAAATTCAAAGTAGAAAAAGTACCACTTCCGGTTATCGGAAATCGCTCAAAAGTTGATACGGATCTACGATTTTGATAAAATACTTATATGAAATTTTATCAACCTAGCTGTAACGGTACTCAAGTTATCATGTTTACACACACACACACACACACACACACACACAGACAAGATTGCAAAATTATGTTTTTCCGTATCAGTGAGGTGTAAAACGTCGAGATTTGCAAAAATCTCGATTTTTTTTTTGCACGATTACAATACTTTCTCTATACTACGTATATACGAGAAAGTAAAAAAAAAGTGAAATAAACTTGTGATTCAATTATTAAAACATTGGCTTTTATAGTAAAAAAAATCACTTTAAAGTGAAATTTACTATGATTGAAAAAGTAAATTTGGGGGCCCCTAAAAATCGGGGGCCCCTGGCTGCAGCCCTCTCAGCACCCCCCTTAATCCGCCACTGGGCACTGTTAAAAGTATGTATTTTTTATATAAATTATATAAATTTCATTTCGTTCGTGGGGGGGGGGGGGCGGTAGAGATGCCTGGAAGAAACTCTGTATATATACACATACCCTATATTCCATGTACCTGTGTAAGTCAGTGTATACGCATGTGTATTCAAATAAGTCTTTTTAGCGCAATTTCAAAAAAAAAGAAAAATGGCGTTTAATAATGCGTCATTTCTGGATGGATGAATGGATGGATGTGTGTCCGCAGCCTTTAAATCGTATCTCCTCCTCAACGAAGCAATATCGAGGACTAGTTCCAAAAGCAAATATGTTAAGCAAGTTCCAAGGATGATCGTGGGACAAAAAATTCCCGGAATTCCTTCCTGGATTTCCCGGAAAAGCCAAAAAAACCTCGAACAAATGCAGTTTTTGCTCCATATCTCGACAACCAGACCACTTAGCGACTTGAAACATTTACCAATCCATTCCTGCCATAATTTAGACCAATATTGCCGAAGAAAGTTTTCAAAAATATCCTTTCGTTCGGTCACAAAAAATTAATTAAGAACATTTAAACTGAGCATCGTGTAGGTTTTAAGCGCAAACGCTGAGGTTCGAAAGGATTTTTTAAATTTAAACTGAGCATCGTGTAGGTTTTTAGCGCAAAGCGCTGAGGTTCGAAAGGATTTTACCATAGCGAATGAGCGGAGGTTCGAAAGGATTTTTACGTAGGTCTGTGAATTCTAAAAAATTAATTAAGGAAATTGCGCTTAAATTGTCACTAGACTTTTTATTAACTTGTTTTCTGGATGTATTTAATTATTTTTTTTAAGCTACGCACTTTTGACAGAACTTTGTCCTTCAAATTATGTCGCTAATCACGGGTTGAACTGACTGGTTATACAAAAAGTAAGGGATTGCTCCAGAGGCGTAACCAGGTTTATGGTGTAGGGGGAGCGATAATAGCAACAACAAAAATTGGAATTCATAAGACGCGTGAATGCATTTATTTTTATTGCTTATTCAGTTTTACAAAACGGTCTTCATTTTTAAATTTAAAAAAGAAACAACATTAATTTACTATGGCGTATGTAAACACATTTGATTTTAAAAATGTATCCTGTAACTTAGAACTTTTGATAAAACTACAACATCCTTTTTCGTCTAAGTTTCATTCTAGCAAAATGATCAATTACATCTTTTAAAACAACATCAGAAGCTAATTGCCGTTCAATCGTAATCAGGACTAAGCTGGACAACCTGTCTTCGTTCATAGTAGAACGGATGTTTAAGAGTTTAAGACGGCTGAAGGAACTTTCTGCTCCGGCACTGCTTAATGGTAAAGTAAAAAAAATATACGACACAAAGTGGACAGGTTTGGATGCAAGGAAACACAAGTCATTAGCGATTATGAATTTCAGAATGCTGTTAATTTTCACCGCTATTTCCAGAGGTTCTTTTTCAGTTAAAACGCCCTTGTTATCACTGCTTACACCAAAAACTTCTTGGTAAAATGTTCTAAATGACACAAATTCCTCTACTACTTCAGTTCGACTTTCAACAATATCCGAGTACGCCGCAGGAAGCTCACAAAATTGAATAAATCTTTCGACGGCGTCTCCGTGTTCAGTAACATGTCGTATAGACAAAGAAAATTGATCCATTTTGCTAATGTCGATAGTTGAATCTACAGCCACAGCGAAATACCTTGCTATTTTCACCTACTAGCTTCTTTAAAAATTGGGCCCTCTCAGCTCCCCCCCCCCTTAATCCGCCACTGGTTAGAGCAATCACTAAATCAACATTCAAATTAGATCATCA